GAAGTGCTCCGGGCTCACCGCCTCCTTCCATCTCCTGACATACTCAGTGAAGTAGGGGTAGCAGTCCTCACTCATCAGCCTAGGTAGGTCTGCCTCTTCCATCGCATATAGTCCTGTCATCCTTGACAGCCAAGCTCTGTGCCCAGCCATCTTTTCGCAGCTTAGGACTACATGCTCTATCGTGTCCGGAATTCCACAAGGGGTTGATGTTCTTCCCATGCTTATTCAGTTTGGCTCTGAAACCCCATGCCCCGTAAGGATCTGCGATGTCCAGTAGTCCGGATTCACCCACTTCGCCTCCATCCTGGAACTAATGGTGGAGAAGTACTTCCTCAGGATAGAACCCTTCTCGCTTCTCACCCACCGCTCGTTCCACTCCCAAAATGAAATCGTTCCACTCCTCCACCAGCTTCTTCCATCTTCTTGGCTCCTCCTCAACCCTTCCCCGTAGTCCCTCCGGAAGCGAACCGAGTCCGTTTCTTTTGGCATCGAACCTGATTACGTCTTCCTTTAGGATCAGATCGATGGGCATCTCTCCAGCCAGTATCTGGACCACGTCGTGCGACACCGTCCTATAAGCCTTAGTGACTCTCAGTAGGGCCAGTCTCTGGATTGTTGCCAGCTTTCCCCGTTGGTCTTTTGTCAGTCGCCGACTCCACGCAGGCGATGCGTACCTTATTATGCCAAGGACGACATCTTTGTAGATTGTTCTGGTCGCTGGGTGCTTGACCCCTCAGAACGCACTACTTATCCTCGACAGGCCATTTAGTGTGATGGTCACCCTACCTCTCAGGTACACAACGTGGTGGGCTGGGGTCGAATGATCTGATCATTACAGCCATCCTATCTTATGGTAACAGTTCCAATGTAACCACAGCCTAAAAGAAATGAACACTGATTTCTATGCTTAATCAATTTCCTTCCTCCTTTAGATAATAGTCCTCATTTCTGGCTAAGTTGAGGCATTGGTAACAAGTTATTTTTGTTTCTTATTCTCTATAATTTTATTTTTAACTATTACATATATAAGTATAATATTATATATATATATATTTTTTTTTTCGGTTGGCTCTACAGACCTTGTAGATCTTTGGCCGCCTGAACCAGCCTTCTCCACTTCTGTCTATCTTGGGCTACTGCTTTCCAGTTTGCTGCATGAAGCTCAGCCGTATCTTTGTTTATCCTATCTATCCATCTGGTTTTTGGCCTCCCACATGGTCTCTTGCCTACTACTCTGGCATTCATTGTCATTTAGAGGCATCCTGATGGATTACTACGAGCTACATGCCCTGCCCATCTTAACCTCCTTGCCTTCATGTCATGAGATATTGACTGACCCGTTTCCTTCAACAGTTCTTAATTGTTCCTTCTCCTCCATATGTCAAGGTTCTGGTCCCATATAGGTCCTGTTATCCTACGTAAAACTTTTCTTTCGAATCTCTCAATTCTGGCTTCTGATGTGCCAGTTAGAGCCCAGATTTCACAACCGTACATCAGAACTGGCTTAATCACAGTGTTGTACACCCTTATTTTTAGATTTCTGGAGATTTTTCTGGATTTCAGTACCTTTGATAGAGAGAAGAAAGATCTGTTCGCACTTGTTATTCCCTGGTCTATCTCTGTTAGTTGATCATTTATTGAGGTTATTGTGGAGCCGAGGTATTTGAATCTGTCTACTTTCGGGAATGACTTGGAGTCCATGCAGATCATGTTATTAGGGTGGATGTTTCGACTAACTATCATGTATTATGTTTTATCTACATTGACCTGTAGTCCGATTTGCTCTGCTTCTTTTAGTAGAATCCGAGTGAGTCTCTCAATATCCTCTTGATTACTTCCGAGGGCAGCTATATCCTCGTCATACGCTAGGATTTTATGTTTCATTCCAACGTGCACCCCTCCATCTTCGTGTGATGTTATTCTTATTACTTTCTGTACTGTTAAGTTGAACAGCATCGGCGAGAGTCTATCTCCCTGTCTCAGACCTGTTCGAACTTCAAAGGCTTCAGATACGTCTCCTTGTATTAGTACCCTGCATTTAGGATCATTTGTACACGCCTTCGTTAACCTCACTAATTTCCCGGGAACACCCAGCTCAGTCATGATCTTCCAGAGACATTTTCTGTCAACGGAGTCATAGGCTGATTTGAAGTCGACAAATAATGCGTGTACATCCTGATCTACTTCCCATCGTTTTTCAAGTACTTGTTTCAGGATGAATATCTGATCTAGCGTACTCCTCCCTCCCCTGAATCCTGTTTGATGGTCGCCTATTATGTTTTCATAATACGGATATGTCCGATTTAACAGAATATTAGTCATTATTTTATAGGCGACCGAGAGAAGTGCTATGCCTCTGTAATTGCCACATTCATACATGGAGCCCTTCTTAAGGATAGGACAGATCAACCTTGTGTTCCATGCTTCTGGTATCTGTTCCTTCTCCCATATCTTCTGGATTAGATCTAACAGCTTGGCTCTGAGTTCTTCTCCCCCATCCTTGATTAATTCTGATGGTAGGTTGTCCATCCCTGGAGCCTTTCTTCTTCTCAGCCTGCCGATAGCTATTTCCACATCCAGAATATCTGGTTTTTCAACCTGAAGTGGGTCGGTGTCCTCAGTGTGGTCCATGACTTCTTCGTTTGTGAGGTGCCCTTGGTTAAGCAGCTGCTTGAAGTGTTCATTCCAGATGCTTATGATATTTTCTTTTGATGCCGTCAATTTGCCATCTTTCTCTCGCATTTGAGTATTTCGTGCTTTATATCCTACCCTTTCTTTCCTGATATCTGCGAAGAATTAGTATATATTTCCAGCCTGCCAGTTTTCCGCAATAGTTTGAAATCTTTCTTTGAGGAATTCTCTTTTGGCAGTTCTTATTATTTTGTTTGTCTTTTTCCTGGCGGCTGTGTATTTGTCCAGCATAGCTTGATCAGTTTGTAAGCAGAGGACTTTTCTTCTTACTTTTTTTCTTTCCTCCACCGCCTTTTCGCATGCTTCTGTGAACCGTTTCTTGGCTTTTCTTTTTTCCTGAATCCCTCTTACTTCCTTAGCTGTTTGTTTTAGCCTTGACTCTAGTGCCTCCCAGTGTTGGTCCACCGTGAGACCTTCCGAGTTCAAGGGTTCGAATTTATTTTTCAGCTCAATTTGAAATTCAGCTTGTACCATAGGGTTTTTCAACTTACGGACTTCGTACTTCTCTCTTTCCAATTGGTTCCCAATTCGGTGGATTCGCTTCAGCCTCTGACAGAGTTTGATTCTAATCAGAGTATGGTCCAAATCACAGTCTGCTCCATGATAACTCCTTATGTCTTGTATGGAGCTTTGATGCCTCTTGTCTATCAGCACATGGTCGATTTGACTTTTTGCTCCTTTAGGACTTACCCAGGTATAATTATGTATGTCCTTGTGCAGGAACATCTTACTGCTTACTACTAAACCTTTAGCTGCTGCCAGACTAATACATCTCACTCCATTGTCATTTCTAGTGTCGTGGAAACTTTGGCCTCCGATGATAGGCTTAAATTGGGTTTCTCGATCTATCTTGGCATTGAAGTCTCCCATGACTAATTTTATGTCATGTTTTGGAGCCTGGTCCACAACTTTTTCTAACTGATCGTAGAAATCGTCCTTCACCTCATCCTCTTTTTCTTCGGTTGGTGCATACACGTTAATAATCGTGGTATGAAACCAAAGACCTCTTATGCGTAGCACACTTATCCTTTCATTAAGTGGGGTGAAGTTAATTACTGACTTCCTTGCGGCCGGATTAACTATAAATCCAGTGCCAGCTGTCCCATTTTTGTCGTTTCTCCCGGTGTAGAACAGTTTGTAGCCGTCTATAGTGGTTTCCCCACCATCTGGCCACCTTACCTCTTGAATGGCTGTTAACGGTATGTTGTACCTTTTTACTTCATTGACTACCGTTTGGGCGGTTCCTGGTCTGTATAAGCTCTTAACATTCCATGATCCGATATGAAGTCCGTTATACAAAGCCGGAGTCGTTACCGTGTTAAGACAATCAGATTTTCCGAGGCTAGTTTTAGGTTTCTTAATATGTTGTTTTTGATGGGATAGTGTTATTAGCCCTATGCCCAATAACTTTGGTATATATATATTCACAAGCTTTGTTCTTGCACTGCCAGGAGGCACTAGTTCCTATTAGTTACGTATTAAAATAATTAATTTTAGTCTATTAATAAAGCAACTGTATTGGAGAAATGTTGACTGAAATAAAATTCAAATATTACATAACATAAAACAGCTTAAGAAATAAAATTAATTATTAGAGGAGAGGAGCGAATGACATCATTGTCCAGGGGAGGACATTCAATGTCTAAGGCCAGCACTGTTGTAAACTTCGGTTTATCAATCATTTGGTTGCCATTTGTTATTTGTTCACGCGTTAGTCCGCTCAGCTATCCCACCCCAGATTATCATTATGTAAAATTAATTATTGTTACAACAAATTTCAACTTTTTTTTCTTTCTTCCTTTCCTCGCCTATTAGGCTATACGGAATTTTCTCGGACCGGGGTGTGAGGGCGAAGATTAAATGCCAGAGTTAAAATCCTCTCCGCCCCTGGGATGCACTCGTATTTTTTAAATCTTTCATAACTTCCCTTATCTAATTGCTGGATAACGCGCGGTGCTTAGCCCGTTAACCCGATCGGCCACCCCGCCTTAACAAAATCGAACTATTCTTTGGACTTAAAAATCCAATGTTTACATTAAAAGAAATTTATAAGAAAGATAAAATCGAAGAAAGATAGTAAGTGAAAGTAAAAATAAAATCAAGAATTCCCCCCCACCCTTGGTCAATAGTGTCCTGCTTTACCAAAGTTAACCTAACATTATCATTACTAACAAATTATTTTAGAACAAAACAGAGCTTAAATTATGCCCTTCATACAATAGTTATTGATAATAAATTAATCAATTCGTTTATATTTTATTTGTTTAAAAAAAATCTGGCACAATCAGATATTAGTTCAATTCATACCTGTGTTAATCTCTTTATAACATTGTTTCTCTATGTAAATGCTCCTCTCTGTAAAACAACCTGTTCCATTCCTGAAACCACATGTAATCGCTGTCAGTTCAAACAGGTGTCTTCGGGTTGTCATACGACTTAACGAAGATTAGCTTTCATTCTATTTGCCCGTTTACTGTAATTTTTTAAACCCAAAATGAGTCATTTATCATTCGAAATGAGGGACATTTGTGGCCAGTTGTATGATATAGGTGCTCTGAAGTTTGGAGATTTTAAAATGAAAGTGGGTCTGAATTCGCCGGTTTATTTTGATTTAAGAGTTATGGTGTCTTATCCAGAAGTTATGGTATAATTTCAGACTACGTGACTTTAAGATGATAGGTATGCGTAAATATGCATTACTGATAATTTTTGTTGTATATCTTTCACAGGACACTTTGTCTAGTATGGTATGGAAGTTTGTTGAAAACCTTAACATTAAACCAAACGTGATATGTGGAGTTCCTTACACAGCTCTCCCTATATCTACCCTTGTGTCAGTTAAATCTGGAATTCCAATGCTGATCAGGCGGAAGGAACCAAAGAAGTATGGTACAATGAAACTTATTGAAGGTACATATTCGGAGGGCGATACTTGCTTAATAATCGAAGATGTAGTTACATCAGGCGGTAGCATTTTAGAAACTGTTAAAGTGAGTTACTGCATACAAATATTTTTTATTGGGTTATTCTGTATGTAAGTTGATTACTCAAATGTTATCATAATGTGCTACTAGAACCTGGATTGGTCTCTTCTACTTAATATTTTTTACAGCGTTGCTTGTCAAACTTATAAGCAATTTTGTTTTTCTTCAAATGAAAAAGGACAAAATCCTTTAATTCATACAAAAATAATTTTTATAGAACTTCATTTTAAACTGTTGATAGTTATTTTCTTGGGTGGTAAAAGTTAATATAGCTTGTTATTCATATGGTTTGTATGTATTACAAACATTACATGAGGTACGTGTCTCTTCTTCAATGTTAACTTTTGATTTTTCTCAGTTTTACTCAAAAATATCATAATTATTTGGCATTTATTTTGATAAGGAAATCCTGGCATTCTTGCTTGTTATATAATTCAAGGCCAATTGATTAAATTTTGAAAGCTCTTGCTCATATAAGAATGTTTTAGTATTAGTATAACTTTAATAAATTGGTATAACTTTTAGTCCACAAGCTAAAATCATTTAAGCTGTGTAAGAATTGAGTATTTCAACATATTAATGTGATAAGAGTTAACTAATTTAATTTTAATAGTTGCAGAATTTACTGCTTACTGTAAATCGGAGATATACCTAACAAAGATCATTTTATACAACTGAGTGTCCCAAAATAAACTGTAATTTCCTTCTTCTTTGCTTCTTATTAGTGTGCTGATATATTGGATTGGGTCAAAGTCTTAAGGAGTGGATGTTTCTTGTTTTAACATGTTGAAATGTCATGAGATCTTGTAATAGGGAGAGGGGTATGCCTTTGTATGGTACTGGTTAATTTTATTGTATCAAACAGAATATGGAATCAGGAAAATTTACAAGCTATGAAACATGAAAATTTGTTTCATTCATAATCAATATTGGTCAAAAAATGCTTATTTAATAGTGTTATATACACAAGTATGCATATGATATATCAAACGTATTACAATGCGTTCATCAATATGTTGTTGTAAACAATATTCTTTTCAGTTGGTTTGGTTTTATTGGATACTTTTAAATTTAATACTAACAAGGGGAGTTTAAAGTCGGTTAGGTCACCAATTTTTTGTGCAAAAAAAAAGGAATAAATATTGTACTATGGTATTAAATGAGTTATAATATTATAATCCTAAATTGAAAAAACCGAAATGCACCTTCAATAAAGTGGGCTAAGCTAAAATTTTTAATGAAAAAGCAAGTTTTAAGTGTCCTTTAAAACTTTTAAATACAATTTTTATTTTTATTCAAAAATTGCAAATTTTAATACTGGTTATTTTCTTGGAGTATTGTTTCCTGACTGTTTACTAAATCCTTTATAACTTCTCAGGCTTATCTTTAAATTCAACATTACTACCTCTGTTAGAATGCTGAGTTACTGTTCTTTCTATCCACAAAATTAACTTTTGGATTTGATTCGTTTTTAAATTCGATATTAAGAAAAACTCAAACATTTTTATTTTATGTTGTCGATACAAATGCTAATTATTGAATCTGATAATCACTACTTTTCAGGGAACGCAAAAAAAAACTTGTAATATCATTATCAATCTGTCCAAACAATGAGGGTGTTTTAATTTCCACACTAATATGTGATTTGATGAATGTTTGAACATTTTGTATTCGTTGTTTAAAAATATTTGATTGCAATTAATTAGATACACTTCCGTTACATTGCATTCAAGGTTTGAAATATAAATTTTTCACTTTTTACAACAAACTGGTGAATATGGTATATTTGTTAATTTGCATTGTGTAATTTAAGAGAACTCAGTAAGTAATTGTCCATGTAAATAATATATGCCAGATTCAAGAGTTTGCTATAAAATTAAATTATAAAAATAAAAAAACTTCAAGCAATTGGAAATCACATATTCGATATTTTGCAGTGAATACAACAATCTTCTTTTTAGATACAAAGTAATGAATGAGACACATTCAATATTTGGCAATATTATGATAAAAAAACATATGTTATAAATGTATTACAGAAACGTGAAAATAATATTCAATACTTAGCCAAAGAATATCAATAAACAAACCACATTTTCAGTACATTGCACTTGCTGTTTCTTTTCTTGGCTAAGGCAATTCGGGTCTGAAACTTAACCACTACATAGAATAGAATAGAATTGAAAATTGAACTTTATTCTGGGACAAGTCCCCTTAGAATAACAATAATGAACCAATACAAAAGAAAATACATATCTGGCCAAAAACTAACTTAATAAAGATTCTGACAATATATACAGTAATTTAAGTAATAGTATGTACACCACCACAAAAATAAAAAATCTGTTGCTCACAACACACAACTTTCACTTACTGCACAACTTTGAATAGAAATTATTTTCTGGCCATGTTGGGCTATTCTACAATTTTTTAATATCATTTTTAACTGAGCCAAAGCTAAAAGATTACAGCTAACAAATCAAAAATACTATTAAAATAACAAAAGTCCTATTTAGGTTATATCACTGGTTGATAATGGATTGTACGACTATTAGTTATTGAACTGTTATTTTCCATTGCCAAGTTTACTAAAACGGCATTAAGAAATTTGCATTGTCTGTCATAGACAGGTCAAAAGTTATCATACTAATTGGAAGTGGATACTGTTGGAATATCACAAAGGGAAAATTCATCGAATTATTCACTAATTTAATTTTCTAAAAGGTTACATGATGATTTTTTGGAATAAACTGACGATAGATACCTAATTATTTAAATATAATATCAGATCTAGAGTTATTAAACTACAGTAAATATATGTAGTAAATAAAGTAAGGTCATAAGGCCTACATATCGGTCTTTGCTTAAATTTACGTATATGTTGATTCCTTGGAATCTGTGGATTTTAAATACTTTTTCAAACTTAAAAAAAAAAAGTTAAAAGTTTACATTTCAGTACTTGAAAGCATTCAGTGCTCGAACCACTCCCTGAAGATGACCCACATGTTTGGGTTAAAACGTTGGCATACATAAAAAATTAAAAAATTTATTTTTTTTTTAGACTGTCCTGAATATTTATCACCCATGATATGTAGAACAGTCGACTAGCTTCCTTCAATAATTTGTTAAAAGTTTACATTTAGTAAGAAAATTTCATTTAATTTCCTTGAAAACACATGATTTATATTAAATAATGTTAGTTTTTAGGAATTATTATTTATACTTTTTTTGCCACTTTCCGTTACCTTCTAAAATTTTCTATATTAGATTTTTTTTTTTAAATTATCTGCTTTCCAATGATATATTATACCTATAGCTTCTGACTATTATTTCCGGATATTCATTTTTGTCCTGGATAGGTTTTTTTTTTTTTCTTCCATATTCAATTATTAAATTCTTTCAAAAGTTATATTTAGCTTTTTTTTTTATAACTCCTAACAATGAGAAATATTTATTATTTATAATGAACAAAATTAAAAGAACTTTATAGGAAAACATGATAATGTTCGGATTTCACAAAGGGAAATATCATCAAACAATTCACCAATTTAATTTTTTTAAAAGTTACATGACAATTTTTCGGAATAAACTTTGATACCTAATTATTTAAATATAATATCAGATCTATAATCACTGAACTACAGTAAATGTAATGTAGTTATAAACATATGCTTTATACATCCATGAAATCCTATGTATTATTTCTAAAAGGTATTTTTTTATCAGTACGCCATAACTTCGTCAATTCTTCATCAAATCCAGTGATAAACCACTCATTTTGAAGATATTCTTCTCCTTCACATGTGAAAAAATAGTCCTATTCCCCTGAAATTTCTGGGGAAAAACTTATGAAGGAAAAGAAATTTTATTTGCCAATAAGTATGGATTTTTTTCTGGATTGTACCCATGGTAATTAGAAGGTTTACTAAATTACCTACAAATCAAAAAAACAATTATAAAAATTGGACAATTATTAATAAAGATGCAGTCCATTAGTTTTGGTATACTTAATAATAATGTCTTGCTGTTTAATGATATTGCGTTTAGGAGTAGAATAGTCTACTAAACTTTTTTTCTCTGGCTGATTTATCAACTTTATTATTTCTTAAAGACATTTGGTTGTTCTTAATTTTATTTTTTTAATAATTTAGAAATTTCCATGATCCGGGACATTATTTTGTCTTTGTATTTTCCAGTCAGTGTTTAAAAATATTTCTTAGCAAAGCAATTTGTACAAATACTTTTGTCCTATTATGTTTAATGGAATATTGTAATCGACCAAGGAAAAAATATTAATTCCTTCTTTACATAATACATAGCAACTACTTATTTCCATATTGTTTTGCTATTTCTTCACTATTCGCACGAGCCAACTAGTGATTTCATATTTTACTTTTTCTTTCACACAAGTACAAGTAAATAGTTTTTTTAACAATGCCATTGTCTTGATTAGGTGGATTTTATGCATATTTTACTAACTTAAAAATATTTTTTTAAGTTTACATTTAGTTAGTAAATTTCATCTAATTTCCTTGAAAACATGTGATGTACATTAAATATTATTAGTTTTCAAAAATTATTATTTATAATTTTTTCGCCACTCTCCGTTACCTTCTACCACTTTCTATATTAGATATTGTTTTTTCTAAAATTCTCCGCTTTCCAACGATATATTATAAGTATACCTTCTGTCTAGTATTTCCGGAGATTCATTTTCGACCTGGATAAGCATTTTTATTTTTTTCTCCTTTATTCAATTATCAAATTATTTCAAAAGTTATATTTAGCATTTTTTCATAACTTTTAATAATGTGAGATGATTAATTATTTAAAATAAACCATATTAAAGGTACTTTAGGAGAATACGTAAATGAACATTGGGCAATTAAGCTCTGTAAAGTGACATCAACGGGGATAAGACCTAAATGATATTAAAGATAACTTAATTATACAATGATACACCGAGTTTAATCAAAATTGTTTGAGCCGTTTTTGATAAAATCATGAAAATGTGTTTCAGCGTTGATATAAAGTGGCACTTCCAGTTAGCCAATTTTAAGGGAAAAGTTGTCAGGACATCTAAGGCATATACCTATCTTAAATAGATGACATAAGTTTCGTAAGACTTTTCGTTTTCTAGCTAGAGTGTTCACAGACACACAGACCATTTTTCGGGACTTGATTATTTGGACTCAGGGTACCTCAAAACGTGTATTTCCATTGAAAACTCAGATTCAAAAATTTTCACGATCGCAATACTTACCCTTACTATATATTACATATATGGGTAAGTGAAAGTAAAAATGAAAATAAAATTTCTAAAATACTTATTGTAGTAATGGAAAAAAGAAATTACACAGTTTATATATAAATAATGTGTCCTATATTTTCCGATATATCGGCCTCTTTCACATTGAATATTGTTTTTATTGCTAATAAATGTGTCAATGAAATGTAAATGGGTCTGCATAAACATAAGATAAATTTGAGCAAAAATGATATATCTGCCTTATGACATTATTTTATTGAGATCGGTAAAGTTTGCACTGGTTTTTTCTTGTAAACATCTTCCAAATTTTCTAATCATTCCCTTGAACCAATATATCGGCCTCTTTCACTTTGAATATTATTTATATTGCTAATAAATTCGTCAATCATTGGGCAAGGAATCAACATATACGTAAATTTAAGCAAAGACCGATTTATAGGCCTTATGACCTTACTTTATTTACTACATATATTTACTGTAGTTTAATAACTCTAGATCTGATATTATATTTAAACAATTAGGTATCTATCGTCCGATTATTCCATAAAATGATCATGTAACCTTTTAGAAAATTAAATTAGTGAATAATTTTATGTATTTTCTCTTTTTGATATCCCAACAATATCCACTTACAATTAGTGTGACAACTTTTGACCTGTCTGATAGACAATGCAAATCTCTTAATTTCATTTTAGTAAACTTTGCAATGGAAAATAATAGTTTAATAACTAATAGCCGTACAATCCATAATCAACGGATCGTACAATCCATAATCAACAGGTGATATAATAAATAGTACTTTTGTTATTTTAATGGTATTTATGATTTGTTAGCTGTAATCTTTTAGCTTTAGCTTGGTTAAAAATGCAATTAAAAAATTTTATAATAGCCCAACATGGCTAGAAAATAATTTCTACTCAAGGTTGAGATGTAAGTGAAATTTGTGTGTTGCGTGCACCAGATTTCTTTTCAGTATTATTGATTCATTATCCTGAAATATTTTCTTTATCTTAATTTTTGTTGATAATATTGTAATGAAGTCTGCTTTGTCATATGTAACTGCATCCCTTTATGTTCTAATGAACGAAAAAAAAAAATTTGTTGATGAAGTTTGAAATATGCCATGTATCCAACATCTGCTGACTAGAACCCCATTTGTTTCCATCTCACTGGTAAATGAAAACGTGTTGTTTTATCCGATTTTAGGTAAACTGAAATTCATTTTTTTTATTATAGTTTTGATAAAGCATACTGCTGATCACATCCAATAAACTTTCTCATCCATCACTTTTTAAAGAGTTAAACGAACTCCTAACATTTTCTTGTCAGCAGAATACAGTTGTTTTTATGTTATCATATTTAAAACATTCAATGCTACTTGTACCCGTGCTGTTGGAAGAACTAAATAGCCCAGCTAGCTTTTGGTCCCGTTTTTCTCTATCCCTGACAGCTACCTAGAGCCTAGAGTTTGCCATCCCATACTACCTAGGGTAGGAGTTACAAGATTCATTTCTCGCTACTAATGCAAACTTAATATTAACTGACCTAGATTAACAGAAGCCACACTGTTCCAAGCCAGCTAATCCAAGAGCATTCAGCCAACATGGTCAAATCCAAAGTTAAAAATTCAAATATTTTAACTGATTAATTTTGATTTGAATATTTTATCTGACATATCTCATGAATAAGTATACCCTCATTTTCACCTGTGTTGGTTTTCTATGGTTAGAAAAAATAAGGATGCTCAGGAGAGTAATCTGACTGAAAAAATATGACAAGAAAAACCTATAAACACGTAGCTTGAAAACCAATGAAAGCCCGTACAAAGTATGACTTGAGAACCCGGTAGGAAATCATAAACCCTTAAAGGGCACTAAAGCACCATTTCACAGGCTTTAATATGATTTTATCATATCATTATTTCTTTTGAACTAGTTATGTATCAAAACTTTGATATAGTTTCTGTAAACTGTATGTTTAAGTCCCCCTCTTATGCCTCTATACATTTTGGATCTTTTTGAATTTCTAAGGTTCTTTCAATCTGAAATTTATTATAACACATATGGAACTCACTTCTACTGCTTTGAGTCCTTTAATTTAATTTTTTACAGGATCTTAGACACGATGGAATGGTTGTGAATGAAGCTATAGTAATTGTGGACCGTGAGCAAGGTGGAATCATTAATCTAAATAAAGAGGGCATAAAAATGCATGGCCTTTTTTGTTTGTCTGAGGTATCATTTTCCTGCCTGTAAATAACAACTTTCATTAAATGGATTGAGGTTGTTTTATATTTGATTATTTTCCTTCAGGTCTTAGAGGTCCTTTGTTCGCTTGGAAAAATAGAATCAGAAACTGTTGAAAAGGTTTTAGATTATATTAGAATTAATCAAATATTTCCTGATGGAGAAATGATGACCATTGAATTTCCACGTAAGTACTTAATTTATAATATATGTAATATAGTTAGTTTCTTTGTCTAATAAAATATTAAAGCATTCGCCTTGAAAGAAAACAATCATTACTTATAGTTGTCTTGATTTTTTAATGAAGGGTACAGTGTTCTTATTTAGATTATCTTTCATCCTTTTTAATGTTTATTGTAAATATATCTGAGGAAATATTCTTCATATTTTCTATTTCATGTATATTTTTCATGTATATATTTTCATATTTCCTGTATAGAGACAGCAGTTTTTATTTATATTTGTATTGTGGGCAGACCATGGGGTTGGTGGGTACAGAAATAATTCCGTACCCAGACATGCTCAGTCCCCTGATCCTGCCTTCAAATAGATAAGGTCCAAGTATTAGAATAATATCTATATCCTTACCTTTTATGTACTGTTGGAATACACCACATGCTGCAATGCAGTGGTGGATATTGATCTGCAGCAGTTTCATAATTTTTACTTGTTACTCCAGGGGGAGGGGAGAGGGGTATGGATTTCCAGACGTAGCCGATGGTAGGGTTCCACTATCCGACTCATTTTTCACTTTGCCTTTTGGTTTCTCCCCACCGCTCGACCTCCCTTTCGATCATTTCCCCGATTTTGAGGAGTGCCTCGAGGCCGAAGTTTGGCCCCCAGCTCGTGAAAGTGACAGGGATTTGTTTGTTCAAAACCATTAATCTCCGAAAGTTCTTAATAATTTGATAAAAAGTGGTCTGTACCATGGCCTAAGAAGGTAATTATATTATAGTAAATTGCAAAGTTGCATAAAAATAGTAATTATGGATTTATAATATTTTTGAAGCTGGAAGAATAATTAAATTTTAATATTTATAATCTCCTATTACAACTATTTCATTGACCTGGAGTTTTTCAAAAAATTTCTAAGAAAGTCAGGGAGTTTCATTTAAAAAAGTTAGATGGACACCTTGTGGTTGTTGTTTCAATGTATCTTCATAATTAAGGTTAAAAAGATTTTTTTTTTTTCAGTATTCTATCCTACGATAATTTTATATTTGAAAAAAAATGTAAATGTTCGTTTGTACAAAACCGCTAATCTCAGAAAGTTCTTCACCGATTGCTCTGAAATTTTTACACGACATTTCAATAGAATTCAGGAGTGTTTTTATGAACATTTCATTACCATCCAGCCTTTCATTTTGAAATGAAGGCCAAAAAACCTATGTCGCTATAGACTCGCACCAAAACGGCTGTAACAATTTTAATGGAACTTGGCTAATTAGAATTTTAGTTATATATCATACTTTCCTGAAAACATACTGCAAAAAATGTTACAATGAATTCAGGATTTTATTTGTGAACAACTCAAAAAGTACACAATTTTTGTTGCATTATATCCATAATTATATGAAACTTTCCTGAATTCCTTACAAATAAAAAAAAATCATCGAAATTGGATCATTCAGTGTAGAGGTATGTCATTTTAAACATTTACTTCAGCAAACGCCATTTCTCTTTTCTTTTTTTTCTGTTATTGATTAATCAAAAAATTTATAATTACTGAACTAATTGAGATTATCATTTGAAGAAGTGATACAATTCTCTTTATGTAGGTCAATGCTATTTATATTTTTTTTATTCTGTAATGTAAATATTACATAGTGAATTCAATGGATCAATAGATTTTAAATAGTGGCGCGGAAGCAGTGACATCGCAAACTACTGCCAAGGAACGAAACAAAGAGGTAGAGGAAGGCAGATGGAAAGGAGAGCAAGTACCATATGTTGGAGACAGACAGTAACCCGTTAACCAGCAAGGAAAGATCATTGAAACGAGGGGACAATGGCCGGCCAAGTGAGGAGTGAGTGTCTAGACTAGGGCAGTAGAATATAAGATTAAGAGAAGCCATTTGTAGATGTTTAATACAGTAATACCTACAGCAGCAATACAGAGGAAGATTCACTGCAGACCAGGATGAGTGCAAAATAAATAGTGACTGTTAGAAAGCTCTGAGAGTAGACCCCAACAAAATTTAATTGAAATTCATAAATGTTTCATAGAAAATTAATGTATACTTTTATATTATATAATTGAGGAATGTGTGTTTAATTGTCTCAAACCAAACTGAGAAATAATTTGTAGTCTTCATAATAATCTAAAACAATTGTTTTTTTTTTTTTTTTATAGTAAGTAAACTTTATTGTGGGACGAGGTCCCTTATGAATAACAGATATGAACAAAAAAAATAAAAACTACATCTGGCCAAAAATTACATTGGTCAATATTGAAGAATATATACAGTACTTCAGTGAAATTATATTAAAACAAATAAAAATAACACCATAATTGTTGTGTGAAATAAATATAATTTGGTTCAGAAACTGTTTGATTACTTATTACTAGATAACCTAACCTTACAATTTATATTTATATTAATTTATATAATTCCTCCAATGTGTTCGGGAAGTAGTATGATATATATCAAATATTTGATATGCAATTATTTTTAAAAAGTGAACCCTTGAGTAATAATCATCACTGTTTATATTCTGGATTCCTTTGTGAAATCATTTTTTCATTTATTTCAGTTTATTTTATTTTTATTAAATTATTTTCTTAACATTATAGTGGAATAAGGCTGTGCCGTTTACTGTAGAGTTTTTTCATGAGAAAGTTTGATTTTTCTTCTATAATTTTTATAACACTACATTTAATAAGTTTTTGTTAAGAAAAAGCAGGCAATCAAATATCTTAGGATGGGTATTACATGAAATGAATGCTTTGGTAAACAGTATAGCTCAATTTCAATACAATGCCATGTTTGATATTTGAAAATCTGGAACATATCATAAAATGTTTTAAAGCATCTATTGCTTTCGCATCCAACAGATGGTACTGTTTTGATAAATATATATAGTTTTGCCTGATATTTTATAATAGTAGGTATATAAAATCTCACGTGTAATTAAATGCAACATCAAGCCAAAATTTCAAAGCAATCGGTAAAGAACTTTCCGAGATTTAAGATTTTGAACAAACTAATATTTAAATTTTTATTTACCATGAAATAATCAACACAAAGTTTAACATTAAACAGTATATTAAATATTTTTAAAAAACCTGTGCCGCTAACAACCCATGAGTGCAATGATGGGTACAATGTGAGGAAGTTGGTCAAGATCACGCTCAACTACCAGGTTTTCTCCCTTAATTAAGAGTACCCACTTTATAGAGGCTGGGTATGCCACAGGAGGGTCTCTCGCCCACAGGGTCGATCCACAGCTGATGAAAAATTCCAGTCATCAACCGGATTTGAACCTGAGACCTTGAGCTATGGAAGTCAGTACTCAACCACTGGGTTACCCCAATCCCTATATATTAAATATACAAATAATTAATTATAAAATTAAACATATGAAAGGCTTCATTTCAAAGACAGACAGATGTCATTTTCAGAAAGTGAAGAAAAAGTAAGGTTTTGTTTTATAGGTTCAAGTCAAATTGTTTCAGGTGTTTTTATTTAAGAATGTTCAAGTTAAATCATGTAAAAAATCATTAGAATTGGTTTAAATTGAAGCTGTGTTACAGAAAATTGTTTTTCTTCAATTTTTTATAAATGACAACTGTCCGTCTTTGATATTAAGCCACTCGTATATGCTTTCTTTTCCATTTGGCCAGACTGAGCCAGCAACAGCAGGGAATGGACGGGTAAAAATCTGGCAACTTAAATAGTTTAAAAATCTTTACCTTACTGTCTCACAATTTTGATCGAGCCTAGCTGCTAAAGTCTTTTAGTACAATTTTATTAGAAATGGGAGTTTTGAGCTTTTCTTGTCTATCTTAGCTTTGCCCATATTCAGAAATGTAAAACCAAAAACGTTATTTAAAACATTCTAACACTCCAAATAAATCGGCTATGTTATCTACCTTCCTGATAATAACAAATGTATGAACACTATCCTAAATGTTTACTAAACTTCTGGGATAATGATATTTCCTCAAATAATCTTGCAGTGACTATTCTTGTTGTACAATCAGTTAAATATTCAGTTGGTGTTTTATTCTTTTGCTCCATAACTTAATTTTATTAACTCACAATATGTGTCTTCACAAAAATTCTATATTGTATTCAGAAGTCACTGAACGTTTTTATTTTAGCTTTGTTTATTATGAACTAACTGAATAAATTACAATTAAACATTCATTTAAAATATTTTCAATTTTTTTATAATTATTTATTTCTTTAATGTGTCTTTATTTTCTCTAAAAATTCAAATAGGTAATTTATAATTATCAAATTTAATATTAAGACTCTGTTACAATTCTTTGCCTTCTAGGTTTTGGATATCTAAATCTAGTTTTTATCCTTATTTATAATTAATAAATTTTTCAACTTTTTAAGTGTTTAACTACCATCTGATCAAATTTTTCCTGTAATGTTAATGCTTTCTGTTCTAATTTTGTATTTAATTTAATAACATTTTCTTCAATAGAATTTAAATTCATTTCCAATTTATTTATATTTTCATCCATTTTTACTTTCACTCATTATTATTATTATTTTTTATCAATATCCCTACCTCACCATTTCTGGCATATGGTACAATCAAACTTATTCTAACCAGAGTGGTAAGGTCAAGATTCGTTCTGTGGATCCGCCACAAAATAAATATTTATCTTAAAAGTTTTATATTTTTTCCAAAGAAACCATTTTTTTTTTTTTTTACATCTCTTGATTTAAAAATTATGATATGGAACATAATAATTATAATACTGTATAATATTTCTAGGTGGTCGTCTGGAACAAAGATATTCAGAAAGATCTCTGATTGCCGGTTGTACTCTCGCCAAAAAGCTTTTTATTTTAATGGAAAAAAAACAGAGCAATTTGTGTATTGCTGTTGATGCTTCTAATTCTAGAGATTTGATAAGGTTGGTTGAAGAAACAGGAGAACAGGCAGCAGTTATAAAAACCCATTATGATGGTATTGTTGATTGGAATGAAAATACAGAAAGACAACTTGTTACTCTATCCAAGAGATTAAATTTTATTATTTTAGAAGACAGGTAATAATTAAGTTTTCTTTTTAAACAGATTTTAAAAAAAAAAAAAATGTTTTTGACCCCTCCAATAAATTTCTGAAAATGGATGCATACTCGACCAATGATTATCCAGAATAATTATTAATTATTAATGCAACTGACTTTTCAATAATTGCTTGAATAGGACCAACCAAACATCTTAACATCCTTTTGGTATTGTACATAAAAATTATTTTCAACAAACATCCTACTTTTTTACTTGAATAATCACTTAGATAACAAACTCACATGTTTCTCATTCAACACTTAAACATAGACTGAGGTAATAATAGACTAGCAGAAAGAATAAAAAAATTTCCAGAAATGTCTTAGGATAATGGAGAACAATTTTGCAAAATCTCCCCTTTTAAATTCAGAATCTTTACTGCAAAAAAAAAAAAAAAAATGAATAATAATTAAAAAATAATTATAAGGAAAAAGATGGTCCATCCCAGGGTCATTAAAAAATGGCAGTCATTAAAAAACTTATCCTACCCATTCTCGAAACCCACAATATCCCTTCCTATCAGTTTGGATTCCGCTCAAGACATTCCACCATTCAACAAGGTCTTCGTGTTGTTTACCATATATCCTCTGCGCTTGAAAACAAGCAATATTGCACTAGTGCCTTTCTGGACGTAGCGCAAGCTTTTGACCGGCTGTGGCACGATGGCCTGCTTTTCAAACTCAAAACTCACTTATCCCAATCCTTGTATCTAGTCCTCAAATCTTACCTTTCAAATCGTTCCTTTCAAGTCCGCTGCAGCACCGAATTCTCCAATTATTATCCAGTTGAGGCTGGTGTTCCACAAGGCAGTGTCTTAGGCCCAGTCCTCTACATTCTTTTCACAGCTGACATACCAACCCATCCTATCATCCCACGCAGACCCTGAAACAGCATCCCTAAACCTATAAAGACACATCTCCCTAATAGAGTAGTGGTGCAACAATTGGCCCATCAAAATCAATGAATCCAAATGCGAGCAGGTCACCTTTACCCTCGACGCAGATCCTGTCCATCTATCCTTTTCAACTCAGTATCTCTTCCCATCTCAGACACAGTTCAGTATCTTGGATTCCTTTTAGACAAAAGGACTAAAAAGACAAAAACTTAACCAACGATTTGGTCAGTTATACAGACTACTTAACAGAAAATCTAACCTCTCAATTGAAAACAAACTATTAATATACAAGACCATACTGAAACCCATATGGACCTACGGACTTGAACTGTGGGGGACAACTAAATTTTCAAACATCAAACGCATCCAATCCTTCCAGTCCAAAGTCCTTATTTGTGTTATATCATATTTTATTTCATCTGTTTTACTAAGGTTTCTTGTTCTTATTTTTGTTGTAATTTCTATTTATTTCTGTAATTGTATATATTGTACGAATGAGTTTCTTATATCTCAAATACTTAATGCCCTTGATTGAGGCAAAATGTATTTTTTCTCAATAAAAAAAAAATAAAACAATGTGGGCATGAAGGGACAGAAAATTATGAAGAAAAAAAAAAGACCAAGAAAATTATAATACCTAAAATTGAAAAATATATATGAATAAAAGAAAATTGAATTATCTATGAAAAAATTACTTATATGAATTGTCAAAAAATTGTGAATTATTAATATCTACAAATTAATAGCATGAAAAGGTGCGAAATAAGAATGCATATCGATGAATATTTTGCAAATAAGTCTCAACAATTTTGGAACAGTTCATATGTAACACAGTAAACCTTAAACAATGAATACAGAAAAAGGAAAGAACTTACGGGAAAATCTAATACAATGCAAATACAAAATAAAAGTAGAATGTAGATATAATAAAAAATAAAAATAAGAGATCATAGATTAGAAAAATAATTCAAAAGTTTTGATAAAAGTAAAAAGTAGTATGAATAAATAGAAAAAAATAAAAATTTTGAGAACAGGAGTGCGATAAATAAAGAAAGTCTAAAAATTAAATTATAATAAAAGGCTTAGCGGGCTCGAAGGTTTGATGCTCACACCACCAATCGCTTATTACACTCTTCCCTTCACCGTTCGCCATCCAAACCTAGTCCCTTCAGATCGGCTTTAATGCAATCTTCCCACTTTCACTTCGGTCTACCCCTCGGACATTTACCATTCGGTACAGCAAATATTAACTTTTAGGAATTCTTACTAAGCCCAACAATTTTACAGGCCTATTTGATTCGACGGGATGAAATCACCTCAATTATATTACCCGGATACAGTTCACGCAATTCGGCGTTGTGTAACCATCTGAATTCTCCGGTTAATTCATCCTTCCTCGGTCCAAATATTCTACACAATATTTTATTTTCAAAAACCTAAAGAAGTTGCTCATCCCTTAATGTAAGCGGCTATGTTTCGCATCCATACTAAAAATTAAATGGCACGATATAAACTCAAATTAAGAATATATAGATAGTAAAAAACCGAAATGTAGAAAATCTGGGAGGAAAGAGGGGAAACTAATAATAAATAAATAATATTTTATGTTGGTTATCATACCATTAGTGTTATGAAATGGATTTTCAATGCATCTATATTTAAAATGACATTTTTACAGGAAGTTTAGCGATATTGGAAATACAGTTAGACTTCAAATGCAGGGTGTACGAAAATGGGCTGATGCAGTAACAATGCATTCTATTGCTGGTCCAGGATTTATACCAGTATCTTCTAAACCTGTATTTTTAGTTGCTCAGCTTTCTTCAGCTGGAAACCTTATTACTTCAGAATATACTCGAGGTAATATTATTATTATTATATTGAGGTGTGGAAACAAGTAGTTCCCTCAATAACACAGGCAATGTGAAACCATGTGTTTTTCCTTGATGTACTCTGAAATTGTGGAGTTCAGGATCACTTTTGAGGAATAAATAATTTTAACGGAGTCAAATGGCTCCTCCTTGAAACCACCATCACAGTAGGTTTCTGGAAAGATGCCCTTTCTGATTCTCTCCATAGCTCTCTTGTAGGACGTGACCTGGGGAGAAACTCTTTCTCCCACTAGTTGTCCGCCAGATGACCTCGAGGTAACCTTTGCCCATTTCACTACCGTTTAGTTTCTATGGAGCAGACTCTTTGGCGCGTCCTCCTTAGAGTAAGCATTCCTCTTTAAGCATTAATATCTTTTTCTTCTGGATCCACTCATCTTGATGAACAGAGAATTTTCCTTGCTGAGTCAGGAGCTGTTGTTGGTGACGGGATTTTGTAGCGGGTTCTCCAACTTAAAGCCATTTCCCATAATGGCAGATTCCTCATAGAAACTAGAAGAGACACAGAATTCTCGTTAAAAGGCATTAGCATAGCTTTTTACTGTCATGAATCAGTGTCATTATTGGTTTTTAAAAATTTCAAATAGTGGCGATCTGTACACAATTATACATATTAAGAGCCAAGTTGTGAAAACTAAAATATTCAGGAGTGGAAAAAATATATTTTTTACTTTCACTTACCTATATATGTAATATATAGTAAGAGTAAGTATTGCAATCGTGAAAATTTTTGAATCTGAGTTTTCAACGGAAATAGTTTTGAGGTCCTATGAGTCCAAATAACCAAGTCCTGCAAAATGGTCTGTATAAGCATGTGTGTGTGTTAACATTCTAGCTCAAATACGAAAACTCATACGGAAGGGAAATTTCATATTTAAGATTTTTATATGCTAAGGATGTTACAGCAACTTTTTTGTCAAAATCGGCTAACCGCACTTTATATAATGAACTAAATACATTTTTACGATTATCTCAAAAACCACTCTTATGATTTTGATTAAATTCATCATATCAGTTTAAAATTAAACAGTTTTATTAAGTTTAAGCAGTAAAATGTGGTTATTATTCTGATTGATATTCTCTAACAGGGCTTAAATGGCTAATTTTCAATATTAGCTTCCTCTAAAGTACTTTTAATTTTTTTTATTCGAAATAATTGACTATTTCACATTAATTATTAATATGAAAAATGGTTAAACATAAAATATGAAAGAATTTGATAAATAACTAAAGGAGAAATAAGAGATCGTAACAGAATAGTTGTAATTGAGGAACCAAAGGAAACCGAGCGAATCCAAGCTCTTCCGAAATATTAGAACACTTATACCCCGACAATATTGTATAAATATATATATGTGGTTTTCGTAAATGTTATTGTTGGTATTTAATTGTATAGATTACAGTGAGATTAATATTAAAATTTGTATATATGGGGTACTTATACAAATAAAAACACCCACAATGAAATATAAATAAATGTAGAGTCTATAATTTTTACTTTCACTTCGCTTTGTCTGAAAATACTTATTTCTGCTAAGAAGAGGGTGGTAAGTGAAAGTTGTGTGTTGCACGCACATCACCAGATTTTTGTTAATTTTTTATCACATATTTAAGACAAAGATCTAATGTTTGAAATATATATAAATTAATTAAATATATATAAATTAATTAAATATATATAAATTTAAATATTAAATAGTGATTTTAAATAATGGCGTGAAGGCAGTGATGTCATTTTCATTTTCATCATTTGCATGGTTTCTAAAACTTAATGAGTGTGAAATACAAGATGAAGACATTGTTTATTTTCTTCCACCAATATTTTAAGGAAGATGTGGTGGATTATTATTCCCTGTTCCTATATGTTCTATATTCATACTAAAAATAATTTGTTTTAATATATTCCGACTCATTAAACCTATCATTAAATGAAGTTTTCCATTTATTTTTGTAATTATTATTCAATCATAATTATAATTTCTGTTAAATAAAATATTGTCCAAACTGCAAGACATGGCCCAAGGTACAATTATATAAATTGTACCTTGGGTTATTTATAATTTTTTTAAATAATTTTTTTTATATTTTAAAAATCTTATAATAAAATAATTTAAAAATTAATATAGAATCTTTGAAACATGACAAATAAAACTTTATTTCAAACTTTTAAAAGTCATTTAGAAGTTATAGAGCAATGAAAAAAAAAACTGACCCAAGGTACATGTATCTCTCCTATTAATTTATAAATGTCTATATAAAACTTAATAAATTTCACAAAATGTGTTCATCACTTTAGCTTTTTTCTAAATGTATTCTTAAATCTATTTTTTAAGGAACTGGTTCAGTGTCAATATAGACAGTTTGTTTTTGTATTTGTATGACAAAAACGGTGCAAAAATTGGTTTGTAAGATAAGTAGAAGTCAGTGATGTTCATAATTTGAGAATAGTAAAAACCATTTTAAAACTTCCTCTCAAACCTAATTTTTTTTTTTACCTTTATATTAATTAAAGTTTTTGTTTGTAGCTACAATTGAGTTTGGTGAGAATTATGCTCAAAATGTGGTTGGTGTTGTTTGTCAAGATGGAGATTTTTTAAAATTTCCTGGTCTCATTCAACTCACACCTGGGGTATCTGTTGATAAGGGTAATCTTTTTTTTTTTTTCTTTTTTTAAATGGTTTGTTCTTGATCCACAATTTTATTATTTTCTCATTATATTCTTGTTATAGTCTGTTCAATTTTAGTTCTTGGTTGTTAAATATTTTACAGCTTCTGACTTATTAGATATTAAGGCCTTAAAATAAATTTCATTTTTAGTTGAACTTGCTATAAATCTTTTAAGAAAACTATCTTAAAGATAATATATTTTTTTAAATGTCTAAACTATTAAAATTATTTTACTACTGCTTTTCTTTCTTAATCATATGGATCTTTTTTCTTCGCATGACATATTGTGATGAATCATATCGTAGGTGTCGATGCTATTGACCAACAATACACAACTCCAGAGGAAGCTGTTCTAGTGAAAGGCGGTGATCTTATCGTTATAGGAAGAGCAATTACCACAAGTTTTAATCCAAAGGTATTAGTTTTTGTTATTTCCTATAATTTATTTATAAGTTTGGATTTAATTTCTTCCTTAATTATTTTATGGAATTAGATGGTTATAAATCTTCAGTGTGGCCTTGAATTTTTTTTTTTTTTTTTTTATACGATCAATTTACTTTGATAAAAAGACTTGTAAAAATCATATTAAAAATATATCTATAGTTTAATCCTTTAACAATGATGATCTGCTGTTGCAGTCCAGCCATCTTTGATTCTTTTCGAATGAAGGATGGTTTACTGGTTGAGCTGATAGACCATGAAACGATTTCTCAGAATGAAATGACAATTCATATTTGGTGACATGTGAAAAATTAATACTTTATATTTAACCGTATTATAAATATTAGCAATATTTATTTAGTACTCTATAAATTATACAATACTATAACAACATAAGAGATGGTAATTTTGAAGAAAAAATAAATTAAATTTTTGAGAAATTCATTGAAATATACTCGATAGGGCAGAAAACATAAAATTTTAAAAACATAATGTACATTTTTATTATTACATTTTAGTAAATTTAAAATCAAGTGTGCTGGGTAAGTATGAAAGAAACTTGGTTTCCTGCATTGGGACAGTTGACTGTAATTCATCACATTGCTTTGGGGTGCTAAATCAAGGTTGGGTAAAGCAAGCTCGTAAGTTGGGTCATGTAATGGCCGGCTGGGAATAGAGGAGTGAGTCAGTGGGTTCTTTACAATTAAATGGGTAAATCAGCAAAGAAGGATCCAAAAGCGCATACATATGCTTCCGCATCAGATAAGAGATTCCAATGAGAGAAAAAAATACAGTGATACATTAAATGTTAACTTTAAATTAGAAATTTCAAAACTTTTTATTTTTATGGTTTGGTTTAAGTATATAACTATGCATGAAAACAGAGTCATCTATTATTCATGAACATCACATTAAGGCTAAATCAATCTTTTCAATCTCTTTTCATATATAAATAAATAAATTTTTCTTTTGCATATATTATTGTTTTAATTATTATGTGTAAGTGTATTTTTATTTATTTATCAGCAAATCTAAAAAAACTAAAATATGTATATTTTTAACCATCAATTTTAACTATGATTATAAATATCTACATGTTGGTAATACCTCCAGAATCAATCTTAATTTCATAAAAATATCTTTACTTATTTGTGAAGCTGCCAGGTAATGTAACATATATATTTTATTATTTGTTATATACACTGACAGGCAAAAAATTCCATCCACTTGTAAAAAAAGTTGTATTTGTATATAATACATGGTATTTGTTGATAATACTTAGTATTTATGGAATTTTATAATCTTTTTTACCTTTAATAATCAAAATGTGATTGGGTAAGAAAAATTAGAGAAAAAAAATTGAAAAACGAACCGTTATTATTCTAAAAGAAATTAATTATATCATCGTTTAGTAGCGCATGTTTCCTCCTCTTGCCTTCACTACTTCTTGAAGACGCCTCGGCATACTTTCCACCAGTCAGGAAATGTCCCTTTGCTGGAGGATAGCCCATTCCTCTCGAAGAGCCCTTTCAAGGTCCTGCAGTGTATCAGGAAGTGTTACACGCGCTCTTATTCGTCTTTCGAAGTTATCTCATAAATGCTCAATGGGGTTCAAATCTGGAGAACGTGCTGGCCAGGCTAAAACCTCAATATTATTCTGTTGAAGGAACTTCTGCACTATGCGGGCGACATGTGGGTGTGCATTAGAATAGAATGATTGCTGATTTCGTTGAGGATAGGCAACACATGAGGTTCCAAAATCTCATCTACATTGTGAATGGCCGTCAAAGACCCTCCACGAACAACAACCAATTGAAATCCCAACCCACACCATTAAGGAACCACGTTGGAAAGGTTGGCTCTGGGAAAATTTTCGGGCTGCATATCTTTCATTTCTTCTTCTCCACACCCTTTCACGCCTGTCTGGAGATCGAAGAGCGAATCTTGACTCATCTGTAAAAAGTACAGCACTCCATTTGTCCATAGTCCAATGGGACTGTGTTCTCGAGCTAACGCCAGCCGTGTTACTCTGTGAGTTCTGGTCAACTCTGGTCCTCTTACTGGACGAAAAGCCATTAATACATACTCATTTAATCTTCTCCGAGCAGTACATTCAGAAATTTGCACACCTCGAACTTCTTCGAGCTGATGAATCACTTGAATAACGGTAAGGTGCCGGTTTTGTAAAATTCTCAAAGTCAAAAACCGGTCATCCCGTGGTTCTGTTACCCTAGGCCGTCCAGAACCGGGCTTTCTATTGTAAGAACCAGTTTCCCGAAAACGCCTGACGGCGTCTCGTAAAGTTTCATATGGAACTCTGATGGCATTAGCTGCATATCTAATGGAACGTCCATCATCAATAAGTGTCACACCACGCACAACGTCCTCAGCACTAAGAGGCATTTTTAAGCTTAATATTGAAAAAATTAAAAGCCGGAGACTAAGAAATGTGCTGCAAGAAACGGCACTGAACTAATGATACTGAATAAACATTTTGATTCCATAGAAAGTAAACATTGGAATCTAGAATCATTTCATTGAATTAAGTAAGGATTAAGGATTATTGTCCTCTATATTAACATTCCTAATTGAAAACAAACAAAAATATTACCTATTTATTCATTAAAAACAATAGACCAATCCAAAGCAGAAATATTTTTAGATGAAAACATGAAAAAATCAAGTGGGTGGAATTTTTTGCCCATCAGTGTATGTTCCACATAACGTCATGATACATGTTTAAATCGAATTAGAATGAATAGTATTGGTGATTTTATTTGGGTTTTAGTGAGAAGGCGAGATTTATTCAAGAAAAGTAGTATTTTGGATCTTTTACCATGTTGATATTTGGATTTTTTACCGTATAGGTCTTCTTACAGACATATATTGTTCGCTGCAGCACAAATAGAGCCTGGAGAAGCTCAAACATATAGCTCCATAGCTGAACCCTTTGATCCAGTTTAGTAGTATTCTTCGATTATAGTCGCTCTTAGTCAGCAGACACATTAGTGCCTATATTTTCATCTCTGAAACTGATTATACATGAACCAAATCTGAACAGGGGCTACTGATTTCCTGGAAAACAACATTCCAATATCTGATTTAAGTACATGACATGGTCATCAATCCTACACCTGTTCAGTGTAAGCTGCCTCCTATAGGCTGATGGGCCTCACAAACCAGAGGAAGGGAGAAATCTCATTCAGCAAGGATTTCTCTGGTGGATGATCACCCATCTAATTACTTACCATGCTCGATGTTGCTTAACTTTTATTACTTATAGCAAGGGCTTTAGCCTGCTCAGCTCTCCCGGCCTCTGTTATATATAAATATATATTTTTTATTTCCATGATTGTTTGGTTTTTTGTGAACTATAGATGTGTAAGTAGAGCGTTCAATCCTACGTCACATCCTCCAGCAAGTGGGACGCTCTCCTACGCGGTAATGACCCCGCACGAGGATTGTAGGATGTTTCTGTTCAACGATCAATGAAATATTTATTTTTTTGATAACAAATATTAGAGTAAAACAGTGTTGTTCACCAGTTTATATTGATTTAAAAAAGGCTTATCATCCCATTGACTGCCAGAAGCTGTATAATATTTTAAAAGAGCCGGGGATACCAAAAAAAACTAGTGAATCTATTTAGGATGTGTATGTCCGAAACATTAAATAAAGTAAGAATTAGTTATTATTTATCCGAGAAATTTGAGATTCGTTTGGGCTTATACAAAAAACAGCCACAATTTCGATGACATCGATGAAATATGTTTGAATACGCTTGGAATGTTAGGTATGGTTTACGATAACTATACAAATAGAAATTGAAGAGGAGATTAAGGTTAAGTTTAAGGCAGGAAGTGCTTGTTATTTTTCTTTATCAAAAAAACCTTCGGCTTTGCTAAGTCTCATTATTATTATTTTATGTTTATGATTGTAAGCAAACAAAGTTATGTAGACTAAGATAGTTTTATTACGAAAATAAAACAGAATGATTAACTGATGGGAATATAAAATTATGTGTCATGAAACACGTGAGAGTGAAATTTTTTGAACATATCAAGTAATAAATTTAAATGGACACCAGATTTTCATTATTAAAATATCTGACATTTAAACTGAAGAGGACGCAACAGCAGTTAATATTTAAAACAAATCCTTATAAAATGAAAGAAAAAAGAAACATAAGACGGGTTGTTTTTATTTATATGGTGTTGAGCGGAAAGGTCTTGGTCAGTTACGTTATGAACCCAATGAAGTCAGTTTGAAATCAGCGCTATTATAGTGATTTAAATGGGCAAGTCAGGATAGAAAAGTCTTTTTAATAAAATTAAGTAGTATTTTTTCACGCATGAATTAAATGGGATCCAGAATAGAGCAACTTTGAAATCAAACATCAAAAAACAGTAAAGACAATACAAGAATATGTGTCTATCCTTTTCCGAATAAAAAAATTATAGGATGAGGTGAAATTCAAAACAACTGTCATTTTAGGTCATGTGAGTTTTAGTTGTTTATTGCTATCTGAACATATTTAAACCAGTGAACAACTTAAATGTTTATTATGATGTAGAGATGGTTGACTGTTGATATAATATGAGAAGGAGTTAATTGGGGGGTGCGGTCAAATAAATACTAAATTAAAATATGTTATTTTTCTTTATCAAAAATACCTTCGGGTTTGCTAAGTCTCATTATTATTATTTTATGTTTATGATTGTAAGCAAATAAAGTTATGTAGACTAGGATAGTTTTATTACGAAAATAAAACAGAATGATTAACAATGGTCAGTTAAATTAATATAATTTTTTTAATTAAATAAATACTATATTTTAATTTAGTATTTATTCGACTTTTTTAAATAAATACTATATTTTAATTTAGTATTTATTTGACCGCACCCCTCAATTAACTCCTTCTCATATTAAATGTTTATTAATTTAATCAATTATTTTCGACTTTATATGTTATTATAAACCATTCTTTTTCAGGAAATGGCGAAAGGACTAAGGAAAAGATTGTGGTCAGCTTATGAAAAACGAGTGCGACGCAGTTGATAAGTTCAGAAATAACATTTCTGTTGAGAATATGATTTGATTCAGGGTAATTATTTTTATTTTAATAGTTGTGTACAGTATAATTCTTTCAGATATTGTAATGATTTTATCTATATTTAATGGATATTTACAAATTTGTTTTTACAAGTTTTACCGTGCGAATAATTTGCATAATATATTGGTCAGTGAACAAATGATAAAATAATACAGAATAAGTTAATGAAATTTATTATGAGTGAAAAAATTAATGTTATTTTTCTCGGTTAAATTACAATGGCTTGTTGATAATAACAAACCAAAATATGTGTTTTAATTACTTTAGGCTGTGTCTGTATCTTTTCTAATTATAGATTGATTTTGATGATTTTTTTTTTTTTTTGTGGAGAATTTAATAGTTTTAAATTATCATGAGTGTAATTCACCATCAATTGTACACCTTTTGAGTTGTGACCCGATAAAGTTTCTTTTTCTTAACTTTTCTCTCTAAAATTTATGGGAGTGCGACTATTTTTCCCACATGAAGAACAATATAATCTTCAAAATGATGGCTCAGTCATTGGATTTTATGTTGAATTAATGTAGATAAGGTGTATCAACAAAAAATAAAACCTTTGAGGAATAATATGTAGTAGATAACATTAAATTAGGGATAAAGTTATAAAGACTTTATCCCTAATTTAAAATACACAAAATATATAAAGCATACAAAAATCTTTACAACACTGAATCAATAAGATTTCACAATATTCGAAAAATAGGTAGAAGCAAAAGTTTCCGAAACTTTTTCAGCTGACCCATGACTAAAGGAAAAGGTTCTATGGACAAGATTTAGTTTGTTGTGAAGTGAACTCATTTCATTCTTGCGAAGTTGGTTAGTTCCGTCTATGCTGGTCCTCTACTGTATAAAGTAAAATGTTACGTAGACGAGAGTTAGTTCGTTATGATGTGAATTTCTTCTTGTGTAGTTAGTCGTGCAAAATATTGTTTACAGAATTCCTATTAAGTGGTTTGTTAATCTTGGTTAACAGTTTGCTACAATGTTGTTACTGTTCTAACTTTAATTTTAATTAAAACGAATTTGAAAATTTGATTTGCTATATTTATAATTTTTTATTTATTTATCGGCTCTACAGGCGCCTGAAGCTGCCCTTTGCCCTCTCAACTACCCTTTCCCAATCATTTCGGTCAGCAGCATGTCTGCTGGATACTCCCACCATCATCAAGTCCTCAGCCACGGAGACCTTCCAGCTTCCCTTCGGTCTTCCGCGTGGTCTTATTCCATCGGGGGTTCTATAATATAATTTCCTTACAGCCCTACCTTCATCCATTCTGATAATGTGTCCCAGCCATTTTAAGTGCTGAATTCGCACGAAATGAGAAACTCAGAGATCGTCGAATAAGTCTTAGATCTCTTTGTTCTTTCTTAAACGCCATATACCATTCTCTTTAACTGGCTCCATGATGCACCTCAACACTTTTCTTTCAAATGTGTCAATCTTTTCAGCCAGGCTTTTGCGTAGGGTCCAGGTTGCACTGGCATAGGTCAGTACAGATCAGATGTTTGTTTTGTATATAATCATTTTCATACCCCGACTTAGTAGCTTACTCCGGAGGAAACTTCTGTTGACGAAATATGCTTTGTTAGCTCCCATTACACGATTTTGAATTTCTTCTTCTTTGTCAACTTGATCGTTAACGATGGAGCCTATGTACTTAAAACTGGAGATGCATTGAAACATATATTGTCCCACTACATAATGCTTAGGCGGATTTTTAGGAGTTTTCTTCCTGAGCACCATAATTTTTGTTTTTCTCTCATTTATGGATAGCCCCTTTCTTCCAGCTTCTCTTTGCAACCTTTCACAGGCCTCCTTGATCGCCTTGAGGGACAGCCCAATCAGTGCCACATCATCGGCATACCCAAGCACTTGAGTTATTTTACTAAAAATGGTGCCTATTCACCACAACTTGGAGGGCGGTGTTAAATAGAAGTGGTGAAAGGGGGTCACCCTGTCTAACTCCTGACTTCACTGCAAAAGGTTGGCCCAGCTTTCCATTTATTTTCACTCGACTCGCTCTCTCATTCAAAGTACACGATATAAGTCGGATTAGCTTCGGTGGAATTCCCATCTCTTCCTTTGCCAGGTAGAACTCTTTCCTGATAATGGAATCATAAGCTGCTTTAAAATCGATGAAAAGGATCCATATAATCTTGTTAAATTCTTTTGTTTTTTCCATTATTTGTCTTAAACAGAATATCTGGTCAATAGTTGACCTATTCCTCCTGAAACCCCTCTGGTAATCGCCCAACCGAGGTTCCACAAAATCCACAATTCGATTATATAAAATAACTGAAAATATTTTGTAAGTCTTATTGTCCGGGCTCTTGGATTCTTTTAACCCAGTAGTGGAGTGACCTGTGTTGCTTCCAATTTTTGCACCAAAACTTAAGGATTGATGGCATACGTAGACCTTTTTCATGGAAAAAGTATGCAATGGCAACTGATATAATTGAAATCAAAGCCTTAATTGTTGGGCTGTTGTGTATTGCAGGAATGCATCCAGCAGGGGAGGGGGGAATCTGCATGATTTGTGGGACTCAAGTGGCTTTGGAATCGAGATATTTCATCTCACTGTGAATGTACGAAGGTTTCGATTTTTACTTCAATCCCTAAGATTTGATGTTCGAGAAACACGTCAAAAAGAAATAGACTGACTGGCACCTGTCTGAGACATATTTGAAGTTTTGTAAGAAACCTGCCAATCTTGTTATTCAGTTGGAACAGACGTGACCATCGATGAGAAATTGGAGGCCTTTAGAGGTTGATGTTGATGTTGTGATGATGTTTGTATTAATTATTCTTTAATCATATTATAGTTGTTCCTAGTATTCAGTGATTTTTGTGTTCTTATTTAATGGTATACAGAATTTAATGTTTAAGTTCCTAATTTCGTCAATGTATTTTTTGTTTTGATTTTTAATATATTTTTTAAAATTGTAAAACTGTGTTTTTTGCTCACTAGATGTATTAAAAAACTCATCTAATATCTTTTTAATTCATTACAATAAGATTTTTTTTTTCATTTTTGATCAATAAATTGATTTAGTGAAATGGATCTCACAGATTCCTAGCGACCTTCCATGTGACTCTAAGGCCAGCGACCTTCGAAGTGTTGAGTACTTAGTTTGGACCTGTAATACTTAACTAATGCCTTTTATTCTGAATGTAAATTTTTTAATTGATAAAAATCTAATGTAGTTAGAATAAATTTGATATTTATTATCTCAAGGCTGTAATGTAGATGAAGAGAATAAATTTGATACATATGATCTTGAGACTATAATGTAGATAAAGTGAACAATGCAAACTCGTGTTCAGCTGAAGAGTGAAGATATTTTAGCTGTGGCTGCATTAAAAAGAGCCCTTATAACAGCAAAGAGACGAGTAAGAGGCCACATACTCATTATGTGAAAGTTGTGATATTTCTAATATCTACATATATGTACAAGTGTAAAAACACACAGCATGATCATCACACAGCCCCAAAAAATTACAGTTTTTTTTTTTTAATTAATAAAATAAAAACTCTTAATTAAGCAGTTGAAAACCTGTACCACTACACCCATGAAGGGTTTTGGGTTCATTGCTTTGTTAGGAAGTACTGTTTCTAGGCTAACTGTTAAATTAAGCATTTAAGGGTTGTTAATTATGAAAATCAGTTTTGGTTAACTCAGTCTATCATCTATATATATAAAAATGAATTTATGTCTGTCTGTCTCTCTGTTTGTCCTTTGTGCATTACTAAACCATTCATCCGATCGCCATGAAACTTTGGAAAGTTCTTCCGTACACTCTTGGGAAGGTTTCTGGCATAGTACTTCTGTCTTATGATAATTTTATATATGTAAAAAAAATAAAAATGTAAATGTTTTTCTGTTCAAAGCTCAAAAAAATGTGTCGCTATAAACTGTAGCGCCAGAATGGCTGTACCGATTTTAACGAAACTTAGGTAAAGTCTTTCCCTTGAAATCCTTTTAATTTATATGTATGTACAGCTTTCCCGAAAACAAGCTGAAAAATGTTACGATGAATTCAATATTATATTTGCCGATAACTAAAAAAGTACACAATTTTTGATGGATAATACCCATATTTATATGAAAGATTTCTGAATTGCTGACAAAATAAAAAAAAAGATTATCGAAATCGGACAGTTCGTTGCTGAGTTGTAGAGTTTTAAACATTTACTGCTTTCTCTGCAGGAAAGGCCGTTTCCTTTTGCTTCCTCACTATCGAAGGGCGGCAAGCATATTTTTTTTTATTGATTAATCAAAAATTTTATAATTACTACAGTAATTTTAATCATTTTAAGAAGTTATATGATTCTCCTTATGTAGGTCAATACTATTATCCATTTTTTTTAAAATTTAGTTTTATAAGTTCAACTCAGACTGTTTCTGATGATTATGAATGACGGCGTATTCACTCAGATGATTATGAATGTTCAATTTGAATCATGAGAAAAAAATCATTAGAATTAGTTCAAATTGAATCCATTTTACAGACAAATTTGTTTCCCAACTTTTTAAAAATTACAGATGTCCTTTGCTACTAATCTACTCATATGTGCTTTCTATTTTCTTTCTTTTTCATTTTGCCAGGCTAAGCCACAGCAGCGCGTGGCCGGGTAAAGCTAGTTTTATAAATATTGGTTGAACGTATGCAATAATCATCCCTCCTCTACAGTAGTTGAGCAGAAAAAATTCTCCTTGTGTGAATCATATAACTTTTTTTTCTCCTAATTTACTTGAATTCATTGGAAGTTTTCATATTGTCTGTTTTAATGCAATGACAACATATAAATCATTGAAACTTCATATAAAAAATATGTCAATCTCATAGTAACTTTATCGAATAAAAACATCTGTCAGCAAAAGCATTTAAAGTAAATTTTTTGGTAAACAGTGTTATAGAAGGACTATTGAACAAATCATATTGGTGTTCATACATTTTAATAAAATGATTAAAAAAGTAAATAGATAACAAAAACAATAAAAATGAGAGAGTACTTCGGTAACCTATTACAAGGATAAGTACATAAGTAAAAAGTTCAATGTTTATTTTATGTAAATTAATTTGTTTATCACTTATTCTTGAAATATATTGATAAATTGATTTTTTTTTAATTTAAATTTTTCTTTTTCAGAGCTATGTTTTTTAAAATAACTCGAAATAAATGGTACTTCATGACAACTATAAGAACTTGGTGGTAGTATTAAAAAATAATTCAGTCTAATTCACATTTTTAAGATTATTTAATGTAATTTGTAAATTAATATTTTAGATTACTCCTTTATTTTCTGCCATTTTTATTAATTGGCTAAATATTTGATTTAGTATTACATTATTTTATATTATTATTTAAGATCAAAAATATCTGTAACATTCATCAAAATGAGCATAGTTTAATCACAATAATTTATTTAATGTAACATATAACTGTTTATTTTATTAATGGATAGTTTTACCTTTACAGATTGTAATTTATATTATGCTAAACCTTTATTCTGGAGTATAAGTCAGGGATGGGCAAAAACTACTCTGAGTACTGGGTGTTTTAATTTATTCAAATTTAATCACTATTTCAGTTCGTCATCAAAGATTAATAGAAATAGAAATAATAGTTAAATTCCTCAGCATTCATACAGGGCCAGTATTTCAATGAAATGCCTTGTACTCAATGCTCTGGTGTAAACCATTTTTCTGGACTAATATATTTTCAAGTTAACAATAATGAATTATGAATTTTTGTATCTTAAATATACAAAAAGTTGTTTTGCAAAGAATCGATTATAGAAAAAGTGATATTTTCTATTTATTTTTTTCATGGTCATTTTTCTTAAATACATTTTGTTTGATCTCTATTATTTCCAAGAATAAGGTTTAAGGATTTCACCATTCTATGTATGTATTCAGCTCACTAATAGATTGATTTGTTTAATTAAATTATATTTAATATCAAAATAAGATTTTGTAGAACTATTTCTTTTAAGTCATTGTCATATTGTAAAAATGAAGCAGATTAACATTCCAAAATTTTAAATTGGTTATGAATATTACTTATTAGAGTTATTTAAATTTTATAAATGAAATTTACGTTGTTAATTACAGTATCATCGATTCACATGTATTAGATGATCTCTTGAACACGATTATTTTTTTATATTACCAGATTAATATGATTATGTTAGGTAAGAAAGATAAAAAAATACTATTAAGAATATGTTTATAAGCGTCCAAATTGTTATTTCATGTGATTTTTGTAAGTTTTTCTAGTGGAAAAATAAAATATATATTTTGATTTCTATTTTTTTTTTTTTTATAAATTTTATTTTTACCTGGGTGATTTATATTGTGCTTTTGATATTTACCACTTTCAGTTTCTCTTTTTCATTCTATTAATATTTTATCCAATTTTAAACCACTACTCTGCCTGATTTAAATTGTTTTATTTAACTTACCTATACATGTAATATATAGTAAGAGAAAGTATTGCAATTGTGAAAATTTTTTAATCTGAGTTTTCAACGGAAATACACGTTTTAAGGTCTCCTGAGTATAAATAACCAAGTCCCACAAAATGGTCTGTTTGTGTGTGTAGGTAAGTCTATCTCAAAAACAAAAAGTCATACAAAATTGATATTACGTATTTAAGATTGGTATATGCCTTGGATGTGACAACAACTTTTTTTGTTAAAATCGACTAACCGGAAGTGCCACTTTATATTAACGGTGAAACATATTTTTACAATTTCTCAATAATGGCTCTAACGATTTCAATTAAACTCTGTGTGTCATTGTATGATTAAGTGGCCTTTAATATCATTTAGATCTTATTCCCGTTGATGTCACTTTACAGAGTTTAAATGCCCAATGTTCATTTACGTATTCTCATAAAGTACCTTTAATATGGTTTATTTTAATAATTAATCATCTCACATTATTAAAAGTTATGAAAAAATGCTAAATATAACTTTTGAAATAATTTGATAATTGAATAAAGGAGAAAAAAATAAAAATGCTTATCCAGGTCGAAAATGAGTCTCCGGAAATACTAGACAGAAGGTATACTTATAATATATCGTTGGAAAGCAGAGAATTTTAGAAAAAACAATATCTAATATAGAAAGTGGTAGAAGGTAACGGAGAGTGGCGAAAAAATTATAAATAATAATTTTTGAAAACTAATAATATTTAATGTACATCACATGTTTTCAAGGAAATTAGATGAAATTTACTAACTAAATGTAAACTTAAAAAAATATTTCAATTAAACTCTGTGTGTCATTGTATGATTAAGTGGCCTTTAATATCATTTAGATCTTATTCCCGTTGATGTCACTTTACAGAGTTTAAATGCTCTATGTTAATATACGTCTTACTCTAAATAAAGAACCTTTAATATGGTAATATATTTGTGAAATCCCATCATTATTCATTTCTAATTAGTGTGACAACTTTTGACCTATCCGTGACACACATTGAAACTCGTAATTTCATTTTAGTAAACATTGCAGTAGAAAATAACAGTTTAATAACTAATAGTCCTACAATCCATAATCGTTTATAGGTTAAATATTTAGATATACAGTACTTTCCAATCTCTCTAGGCATATATGAGCCTTTCGTTTGACAGACTGACTAACTCTAATTTCAGCATTGTTTATTATTAATTTTAGTGATGTTTCTAGTTGCAAAATTTATACCTTTATTCACAGTTCTATATTTCAACACTGCAATCACCTATTCTGGAATCAAATTACTGTCTATATGGATATAACTTTTCTAACTAGAAATATCACTAAAATGACATTACTCAAAAATGTTGAAACAGGAGTTAGTCATTCTGTCAACTGAAAGGCTCAGAGACTGAAGTTATGTGGTTTTTAAAACTAGATTTTTATTGCCTACCGTTGATATAATAAATAGACTTTTTGTAATTTTAGTAGTCTTAATGATATGTAATCTGTAAGCTTTAAGGTTCAGCTCCATTTAAATTTTTTTATCCTTTTAAAATTAAAATGCACTTCAACAATTTTATAATAGCCCAACAATGCCAGAAAAGAATTTCTATTCAAAGTAGATCGGTAAGTGGAAATTGTGTTGTGCACACCAGATTTTTTTACTTTCACTTACTTATATATGTAATATATGGTAATGGAAAGTATTATGATCATGAAAATTTTCAAATTTGAGTTTTCATCGGAAATACATGTTTTGACGTCCCATGAGTCTAAATAACCAAGTCCCGCAAAATGGTGTAGGTAAGTATAGCTCAAAAACGAAAAGTCATACAAAACTGATATTATATATTTATATGCCTTGGATGTGACTGCAACTTTTTCGTTAAAATCGACTAACCGGAAGTGCCACTTTATATTAACGGTGAAACATATTTTTACAATTTTCTCAAAAATGGCTCTAACGATTTTGATTAAACTCTGTGTGTCATTGTATAATTAAGTGGTCTTTAATATTATTTAGGTCTTATCCCCTTTGATGTCACTTTACAGGGCTTAAATGCTTAAATGTTCAACATGTCTTCCTCTAAAATACCTTTAATTTGGTTTATTTTAAATAATTAACTATCTCTCATTATTAAGAGCAAAAAAATGCCAAATATAACTTTTGAAAGAATTTGATGATTGAATAATGGATAAAAAAGAAAAAATATTTATTTAGGTCTTATATTTATTAATTATTTATATAGTTATATATTTATATAATTAAAATATTTATTAATTTCTTGAAATAGTAGTCAGAAGCTACTTATATAATATATTGTTGGAAAGCAGAGAATTTTTTGGAGGAATTTCATTTCCTTTTTTTGCTTTTGATATGTCTTTCAGTTTCTGTTTTTCGTTGTAATAATATTTTATATGATTTACATTTTACTTCAAACCACTACTGTGCTCTGTTTTCATTTTTTTGTTGGAAAGCATTGTCTAGATTCAGGTACAGATTTATATGAGTCTTTCAGTTGACAGCATGACTAACTCCAATTTAAACATTTTTGAGTAGTAATTGGAGTGATGTCGAGTTGGAGAATTTATAATACCTGTACAGACAGTGAGTAAGTTGATTTCAGAGTATGTGATTGCAGTATTCAAATATAGAACTGTGAATAAAGGTATAAATTTTCCCACTAGAAATATCACTAAAATTAATAATAAAACAATGTTTAAATTGGAGTTAGTCACTCTGCCAATTGCAAGGTTCATATTATTAATCAGATAGTGTGATGACATAAAACACATATAAGCAAATAACTGAGGCATTTAAAGATATAACATGTAGCTTGCACAGAGACTGACATGTATAATAAGAGATTTTTTGTCATGAAGCTAAAAGAATAAAATAGTTAACATGTTGCTGGCAGCGAGGCTGGAGACAGCATAGGACTGTTTATAAAAGTGCAGTAGTGGGTGCAGCACAACTTACTTTATTATGGCACTCTATAATAGAGGTGTATCATTGATAATCTGATTGCAGAATATTATTATATACTTAACAGTTTCATCAGGCGATATTTTGAAAAATCAGTTTAAAATGGAGCGAGGTTGGTTCTCAATCAGCTTTAAGTTTCCTAAATTTGAATTTTGGAAGTTTTACAGTTGGTACAATTATAATTCAGACATCTACTAATAACTTCCTAAATCTTAAATTTTTATAATGCTTTTCTAAAATTATGTTTAGAATATATTATAGATTTTCTCCTGCAATACAAGCAGTAATCAATGAGATGCAGTAGTTCAATATGGTATTCAGGATATAAATAAAGAAGTATTCATGTCCTAAGGCAACTCTAGAGCACATTTTAAAAAATTCAATGAGAAAAGTAAAGATCTATAAAATAGGTTTTATCAACAGCAAATAATTCCAACAGTTTTTACTTAAATATAAGGATAACTTGCATTACAATTAGTTTTTAGTTGGCAGTTAACTTTAATTTTCTTATTGCTAATATTTCTTTAATCATAAATGCACTTTTGCCCTTTAGAAAACGTTTAATGATGAAGTTTTTATATGTATAATTTGATCTCTTTCCTATTCAAAAAGTGTTTTTAAATTTGACTATTGATAGTTTGAGCATTATAAATACACTCCAGTATTATTAAAGATAAATTTAATTACCTTGTTTTATCTTATAAACAATCATTATTATATCATTTAATTGATAAAAATAAGATTAAGGAGGTTCAACATCCATTAAAGACTATCAAAATGATTTGTTCAAACAGGAAAGGAAAGGATGAATACAATAAAATTGAATAAATTTCTTTATTTCATAATATATACATATAAATATTTTAATAATAAAATTACTTTATTCTACTAAATATATACACAATAACAAAGGCACGTGGAGAAAATGGTAAAATATTTGTTTGTTAATCTCTTTTAAATAGAGAAAAAAAAGCAATATTAATTTAAGATGCTTATTTTTATTTATTTTTTAAAGTTATTTTAATAATTAGAGAATTTACACCATTAAATTAAAAAAAAAGAAGATATTTTTATCATAATAAATCACTCTTTCAATTCCATAATTTTTCTAATTCATAAAGGCTTATAACTATAAAAAGTAAAAATGGGTCTAAAAACAATTTGATTGCCCTACACATCATACTCATTAAGTATATAATTATATTATTGCACAGTAAATAAAAGAAAAACATAGATTATTTAATTAAAAAAAAAACAACAAATAAATAAGAAATGAAACATACAGATTTAATACTCTCTATATATTGTACAATAAGAATAAAAAATATCGTTAAAAAAGAAAAAAAAATCCAACAATAAGCATTCATTTTTTCATTGTAAAGAGAGAGAAAATTTAATGTTAATGTTATAATAAATACATTATCCAACTCACATATATTAGATATATTGAAAGAAATTGGTATTAACCTTAACGAATGGACTTAGGTTCCCAACAGTGAAAGACTGAACATCCATTTTCGTTGTTATTCATTATTTTAATTTTAAATTGTCCAATGAGCCATAAATTCAATCAGTCATTTTTTTTTAAAAATTATAAATCACATAATGCGGTAATTTATTTTATTAATAAATCAAATTTATTGAGGGCATTTTAATAAGAGAAAACAATATTTCAAGATTAAAACTTATTTTTGTAATATTAGATTTTAAAAATTAATTTTCGTAACACAGTAACCCTGTGAAATGATCGTATATTTTTCTAAATGTACCGTCACTACATATCACATGTATTAATGTTTTCAAATATGAAGTTGACAATTTATAATTTACCATTCAGGGAGCTTTGAGAATGCCTGAAAACCAGCAATTCTAAAGCACTGTCTGATCGCCAGTATCTTAGCAATATTATTCAATTTATTAAAAGCTAACTTCACATCAAAATGAATAGTTTCATAGTAATATTTATGTAACAAAATATATAAACAATTTATTTCATTCTTCTGTAGTTTATTGACATAAATAGAAATTATATCCATATACTACTTCAAAGTGTAATCAAATTTATAGAGAGCAATAAAGATGTCTACTTGTTACAATGGATGTGTGAAAAATTTTATAGTGCACATTCTACAACAAACACCCGAATTATATTTATCGTATTTACAAAAATCAAACTATACTATTTATAATAATCTGTGGAAATTATAATTGCCCAGAAAGAGCACTTTTTTTTACACTATCCTAATTATTTATGATAAAACATCAATTAACAATTAATGTCAAATGTGATAAATATTTTTTTTGTTTTAAACACTTAATATTTTTACGACTAGATTATGTTAAGCTGAAGTTTGTGTGGTGAGCGATGAGCTGAGTAGTGCTTGAGAAGATGATCTCTCCTGTAGAAACCTTTACCACACTCAAAGCATATGTGGGTCTTGTTGCCTGTATGGATGACGAGGTGGCGGGCAAGGTGTTCTGATCGCTTGAAGGCCTTACCGCAAGTGGAACATGCATGTTGTCTGACCTCACTATGTTGGTTCAAATGACGATCAAGGTGTTCCTGACGAGTGTGTCCAGCTCCACATACATCGCACACGAACCTCCGCTCACCCTATGGTTGCCCATACAAAAACCAACTCTTAGTCTGTGACCAAATCATTAACCAACCGCATCCAACTTAACTTGTCTGTGATTACTTATAATTCCTTATTATTAGTTTCTTTGGTACTTTTAACAGTCTTTTTAGAACAAGCCCAAAAAGAGGCCAATAATATAAATTTACAAAAAATTAAATATATAAAAACACAATATTATATGTTAGAAGAATAAATAATAAAATATTTTTATAGTAATTTAGAGAAATAGAAGCGACTTTAACATAATATTAAAAAATAAATTTTTTTGTTATAGAAGAAAAGAATAAAATTTGAATTATAAAAATTAAATAAGAATCTCAAATGTTTGGGTAACACTTATTGGTTTCTTACAGATTTGATGGAGGGAAATACAAGGATTGAAGATCCTCTGAAGGTTATTAGCTTTGATATGAAGATTTTCTTATTATTGTTATTTACACTCATTTCAATGTTCTCCAGTAAGAAATAAACTGTATGTACTTTAATTTAAAAAGAAAATTAGTAAAAAACATTTCAACAGATTTTCAAGTATCAATGCACTTCATTATATAAAATCGTAATATCATAAGTATACATTTTTTAGTAATAACAGAAAACATTGGAAAATCCTCTAATAATTGATCAAGGCACTTACTGAAAGCTAATACACTTCACATACACTCAGCTTCATAATTATTTTCCAACAGAGCATTACTAATAGTCATTGAACTAGAGATGAATATCTTTCAATATACAAAAGGTCTGCTTGCAGATGTTAAATACCAACACTAAGCCTAGTCAAAGGAGGATAAAATAATCTGGCAAGTTAATAATAATATCCCTGCTGAGATATGAAGAAATTGAAGAACAGAAATTTGTGATGCAGGATAATCTAAAGGAAGCAAAGATGTATTCTCCCAATAAAAACAATTACCTTCATATCAACAGACTAAATTATCAAAAATTAGACGAATAAGGTCGTAATGAATACAACTTAAGATCTTTGCCTTAGAATATTGACAGGTAGTTAATTCAGGAACATATTTGCCTTAAAGGTAACAAAAGAGCTAACTGATTGTTCTTTGATGGTGAAACTCTTTCATAAATTGAAACTTGCCTCAGCTGTAAAAGACCTCAAGGCTATTAACAAAGCATTTTTATATGAGATGGGGCTGATGCTAAATCCCCACTATCATTTTAATTTATTTGAAGTTAAGTTGGGGTTCAGCACCTTATGTAACATCCATAAGGTATGAGTGGCCCCTACTTAGATGATAAACATCTATGCTGACCAGAAGAACTTATAATTTAATTTTCAGTAGCCCTCATCTGAAATTATAGCTCAGAAACCACCTGAGGATAGTAGAAAAAGAAAAGTTTTGAAATAGTAGCAATGAGTTTTCACAGTTTTGGGGATCACATTAAGCTGTAATAGTTATCTAGTGATCATTTATTGTTTTAGGCTTAAAAAAAAAAAAAAAAAAAAAAAAAATCAATAGAATAAGAGGCACTATTATAGGTTATATTTAGGACTGTATTATAAATATGTTCTTCATGAGGAAAACAAGAACTAATCCAGAGAAAATTTTAAAGATATGGTATGGCAAAAATTCAAATCCAGACTGGACAAAAAGTAGAAATCCTAAAAAGTTATGAAGAAAAAATATGTATAATATATAAGCTTTGAACAGTGGAATGTTTAGTAGTAACTCGACAGGTTCGAGTTATTATTTTCTAGAATTCATATAAAGCAAGATTGATTTCAAATATGATATTGACATTGATGCCCATATGATCAATAGAAATAAATTCTTAACTTTAACCTTTTAATACTATTATAATATATAGTATTATATATTGACTGCATACCGACCAACTCCTTCTCAAATTTAATCTTTTAATATTGAGTAACTTAAAATATTTTAGCGGCTCCAAATCTTTTTTTTCTATATCATGTTCAAATAAACGAAATTTGGAAAAATGTTAGTATGATCTTTAGCCCAATGGTAAAGGATAATTCATAATTTGATCATTGTGGGTCTTCCTTAGACAAGTTATTTAACAATTTCTTAGACATTAAGATATTTATTTCCCTCCCCCACCCCCATCCTTAATCATACAAAAAATGAAAAATAATGAAGAAAGTGAACAAAAACAATATAATTATTTAGGTTTCATCATCATAATGATAAATATTATTCATAGCTTATCTATAAGTTTTGTAAAGCATGATTTGTGATCGAACCTCGATATTAATTAAATAACTATTAAAAATTTTAATGTATATATATATATTTTTCTTAGAAAATTAATCATGATGTCAACTAATTTAGGTAATCGAAATTCCCGACTAACTCATAATTTTTTTTCCAAATATTTGCAACAAGAAGCATATTTGATAAAAATGCAACAATAAACTAAAATAAAATTTTAATTATGTATATGTAATGAAATTTAAATTGTTGTAAATTATTATACAATGGTTATGGTTTATGTTTTTTTTCAAATAGATATCCTTAACAAAAATAAATTATTCAGTTTTATATTTTATAATTTTTAGGCTTTAGTATAATGATTCTGAAACACTTTATACTTTTCTCCATGTTTATAAATGACCGGGATGATGTGTAAATAAAATGGATGGCAACGATATGTCCCAAGAACCATACAGAGTTGAACTTTAGGGTCCAAACTAAGAAATATTTCTCTGGCAGTCTCGCAAAAAACTGTGGACATTAGAGCCTATGAAACCTCTAAACGAAAGCTTGTTTGAAACAAAATGGCAAATGGTGATATGAAGTTCCAAAGATTATTCTTGCCCAACTTATGAAAAATATAAAAAAACCTTGGACCAGCAGACTCGGGAAAAGCAATAGGCCACATAAGAAACCTAATCTAACCAGCCACAATGTTGTGAGAAAATTGCTGATAATAATGTTGAGTTACAAGGATTATCCTTTAGTAATTTTAGTTCTGTGAAACCTAAAACAAATTGATTCTATAGCTTCAGAGATAAGAGCAGATGGTGGATTACAATTTTTTGGGGGTTTTGAATTCTATTCAATTTTTTTTTATTGATTATGAAGGTTCATTATTGACATTAATAAAATAAAAATCAATACACTAGCAATAAAAGTTATAATGAACAAAACTAAATATAAAAAAAAGAAAGAAAAATTGCTGCCATGATAAAAATAACCCCACCATAAAAGTACCTCGCTGAGAGAGCTAAGAAGTACACTTTTATCAATATATTTAGTAACTAACTGCAGTACTATTTTCAAGGGTACCTTCTCAGATTATCATATGATATTTTCATAAGAAATAGTTACCGTTTTTAATTTTCTGCAAGTCCACTTAAGCAATTAAAAGGGTAAGACTGCCTGGCATATTAATTAATTGACAAGCATTTTATAAAATAAAAAACCGTATTATGACACGAATTATGTTTTATAGTTGGACTATCAGAAAAGTATTATATTAGTAAGAGATAACTGAACAAGAAAAGGGAATGTGAAGATTTTTATATAACTTGATAACAAACTAATTGGGATCGAAACCTTTTAATGATGTTTAAATAAATGGATGAAGTGAAAAGGGTAATTGTTTCTTTAAAACAGGGATCTCATAACTTTTTGGTATGTGGGCCATATTTAGACCTCTACTATGCCCCATGGGCTGCAATGAGATTTAAATCCCATGAGCCACAGCTTTTGATGAAAAAAATTGATCTTGTTCTATAAATGACACTTCAGATGTGAAATGAGCTATCTCAGAGAAAAAAAAAAACATGAAATAAATGCTATAGTAACCTCTTATATGAGTAATGTGCTAAATTTCATATTTTTCAAAACTGTACCATGTAATCAAAGAAACTTTCGCTGGTCGGGACTTGAAGTGCTGGTGGCCGGCAGGAAATAGTTTGGAGACCCCTGCTTTAAAATATCATTATATGATACATTTTTATCTGTTTCTCTTCTACTAAACTCTCTTACAAAATGACATTCTTCTAACTGCCAAAAGTAGCTATACATACTTGAAGGAAATTAAAGCAAAATATTACAACAGTTCAGAACTAATGATCTTTCAAATTTTCACAAAAATTGATTGACCACAGACACAATATCTCTTCTAAATTACTTGAATTCCTCATTGGTAGACACCCAGTTAAAAGTATCAATACAATTCTAATATCTTTTGATGATAATGGTAGATTCGTTTTATATATGACAAGGTCTCATTCAAAATCACTTAAAAAGTTTTAACATTGGTCTTTTACATAAACTTTTTGTTTTATTTATAGCAAAGTTTATTCAATGACTAATATTAAGACAATGAATTTGGCTACATACAGTCAAGTTGAATAAAAAATTAAAACTTTTGAAATGAGGTGCCACAGAAACTCTACGAATGTAATAGAACTCAACATTGAAAAAGTACCTAAAACATTTTTTTTTCAAAATTAGAAAATAAATGAAATGAAAATTCCAATAGTAATAAAAAAAAATAAAAAAATATCATAACATAATACTGTCACATACACCAACGAAAAGATTCCTGCAAAATTTATAAAGATCTAAAATTTAGCATAAATTTGGCCAATCATGTCCTAAATTGAATAAATTAGTAAGGAGTTTACGAAGTAGAGAGTTACATTTAAACAAGAAGATATAAAAACAAGAATATACAGATAAAATATGAATATTATTTATTTAATTACCTTCATAGTTGCTTTAAGTAATAATAAATATATAAGAAAGAAATACATAAATACTATACTCAGTGCTTCTTAAAATTAAACCAGACTTGTAAGAGGGAATTTATGAATGGAAGGCCATTTATAAAATATTTCCTATCTCCAATTTTTAAAAATGATAAAACTCGTCTCAGAAATTAAATATGTAGTAAACTGTTAAATTAAGATATATTTAAAAAAGTGTCAACAAAATTTAACTGCTTCATTTATTATTTTTTTCATTTAAGTATAATGTCAAAATAACATAAAAAAATAATTTAAATTCTTAAATAAACAAAAATAGGAAAGGTTTAGAAGAAATAAAGAGAAACATTGGTTCGATGAATTTTATTTAAGATTATAACTACAGACTATAAAATTAATTGAGAAGGGAATAAAGAAATCCTGAAGCCATTATTGAATAAATATTTAGACTCATTCAAATCTTAAGAATCATACATATTCATAGAAAGCCATCAAATAATGTTAAACATTAAAGACATTAGTGCTATCAGGATAATTATTAAGTTTAATGATATCTATAGGAAAAAAATACTTGAAATAAACTTTCTTACCATGCACACTAATGTCAAAAAAAACACAGCATCGTGCAAAACAGATGCTTCACCTAAATATAGCTAATACAGGCCACTACAAGCAGCCAGTAATAATATAAGACAATCATCTATTATCAAATATTAAAAATCATGACAGCAATAATTATATAAAATGAAAACGTACAATAACATTATAAATAAATATGTTCAGCATATCTTTCAAAAGTTTGTAAGAAATATGCCAGATTTTTGTCGAAATTCCCTGACCTTCCCAAGTTTGCCAGTTTTCCAGGATCGCTGAACACCCTGCAATGGTAAAAAAAAAAGAAAGAAATGTTATTGCTACATTGCAGGGCTATAAATTATTAAGTTAACAATCACTTGTTCAAAACAAATAATCATGCAGAAATATATACTTCAACAAACAGAAAAATATAGAAGCAAGTTCGAAATATGAATCGAATCATTACTCATTCAATATTCCATTTTATAGCCAACAACAATAAAATAAAAAGTGATATTTTTCAAAATTTGCAATTGTGAACCGATGAACACATTTACTTCAACAATTAATTAAAACACATTTGACTGTTTTCAGAGAAGTTTACGTACTAAAAACCAACACCTAAAATTTTAACTCTAATGTTCCACTACCACAAGTTCAACAGAAACAATTAGATAACAAATAATAACGACAATATTAATAAATATATATAGATCCATGTTTGGTCTAATTAAATCACAGCCCAATTTTTGAGTGTAGAAGATTAATGTTTATACTCTAAAGATTATAAGAATGTCATATCCAATGTGATTTCAGTAAGCAAAGGATAATTGTATTACATAATTAGGTAAGTTATTTGAAATAACTTTCCGATTTCCTTAAAAAAAAAAAAAAAAAAAATTGATCTTAAAATATTATTATACACATTGACAGCAGAAGAACGTAAATATTTAAAATCCATAAAAAATTAGAGTTAAAAAAAAATCAAAATAAATTAATATAGTTTAATGAGCTAAAAACCAAAACAAGAAAATATGGTGGAATTAAATGAAAATTGCTAATTTTTTTTTTTATAATATTAAAGAAAATATTATAACATAATGGATATCCATTATACAATGTCGAAGAATTTAATGGCTTCAGTAATGGAAAAATGAAAATTAATTATTCCAATATTAATATCTTCAAGAACTAATTATTAATGCAAAAAATTACTGCATAGTTCAAAATCTAAAATAAAATCAGTTTTAAATTAAATTTGAAGATAAATATAGAAAATTAAATATTACCTAAGGCACATTTGGTATCATTATTTTATCATTGTTTATGAAAAATATTTTGAGTTACAATGATTATCTAATTATTTCTTCCAACCAAATAGTAATTTTGCCATAGTATTTGCAACTTACAAGTCTGGTTAAGAATACGTTTTCAAATCATAGATAAGCATAAACTTACAACAAACAAATGATTTGGCCACCTATTTCTTTTAGATTGTAATTAAATTTAAAAAATGTTATATGATGCGGGAGGTGGATTTGGCCACCGACTTTCAGGCTATGTTATAATAGCAGCAAGCCTAAGTCTTTTGGACATATGTCCTTGAGCATGTTTTCGAAGGTGGTCCTTCCGAAAAAAAGATTTTCCACATTCTCTACACACCTGAGCCTTTTCGCCAGTATGAACGATGTAGTGACGAGTGAGGTGCTCATTACGCTTAAATGTCTTGGGACAAGCAGCGCATGAGTAAGGGCGTTCTTCTGAGTGAGATAATTGGTGTCGGTCTAGATGTTCCTTCCTCTTAAGCCCTGCTCCGCAAACTCCACATACAAAGCGCCTCTCGATCTTATGTGTTGCAAGATGTGGTTCAAGTAGAGATTTATCAGGATAAGCCATATGACACTCAGGACAGCAGTATAAGCGTGAACCATCTGGAGAAGTCACGATTCGAACATCTCCAAGTTTCCTTTTGTTTTCATTAGGACTGGACAGCTAGTAAATTAAATAACATAATTAATGATACATATGTATATATGAATAATAAAACATAAATTTAAACCAGTTACTTATTAAGTTGATCAATTATAAATACAGAAAGTAAAAGAAACTTGTGTGATACTTATTATAATAATTTTTGGATAAAATTCTTATTGTAATTCTTCTATCATTAATTGAACCTAATATAATTTACATTTAATAGCAAGCAATATTATATAAAACTAAAACATAATTCACAAAAAATTAAATATACCTAAAAGAATATAAAGTTTAAATACAACTTAAACAATGAATAAATAAGGAGACTTATCCTTTCTTTAAAACTTATATTGGAAAAACAAACGTTTTCTCATCTAAAACTAGCAGTGAGATGAAACTATATAAATAAATAAGGTATAAGAACTTAATTTAATTTTACAAGAATTAATTATCAGAAATCGTTAACAACTTAAAAAAATGAGAGAACTGAATTTTTTAAAATAAAAAGTTGCTTTGTACGATGGAATTAGTGTAACTAACAAATAGAGTGCATATTTATAAGTTCAAATTCACTTAAGAACTTTAATTTCCTGTGGTAGTTAATCTCAAAATGTAGTGATATTTAGTTTAGTTTATATAAACTTAAATGAATAAATTATATATTAACAATTACAATTGTATAAGTTAATTAAAACAACTTATTTCCCTTTTTCATTATTCGAAAAAATTATCCATATCAGTTTAGCATTAGGACCTCTATTTTTCAAAATCAGGAAAAATCATTATCTTTATTTCAATTACAAATAACTGTATTATATTTTTCTCAAATAGTCATTGATCCAGTATCTGAAATGTCATAAGGAAATATCAAATATTGGGGAAAAGCGGTACTTATCCATTTATGAATCGTAGGCAGTTATTTTGTCAATGATCTGAGAATTAACAATACTATCTAACAAATAAGTATGATAACAAATATTTTAAAGGAAAAACAAAATAATTATTAGTGATTTACTGATTATTGATTATCACTGGAATTTGATACAAAGAAAATAAATTCATTGAGTGGCAGATGAAATAGATAAATATAAAACAAAATTTTTTTTTACTGCAAGAATAGATAAAAACATAAATAAATTTTGCAAATAAAAGTTTTAATTATATTCCATTGTATAATTATCAAAAAAAACATGATAATTACCTTTAAAAACTGTCTTAAGCTTGTAAGATATTCAGCAACTTTTGTATTAGGTGGCATAGAAACATTCTGCCAAGACATTTGATCTGTTTCATCAAGATCTGTCATCGTAGCAACATCAACCATGATTTTCCCATTGCTCCTAGCAGTGGCTTGTGCCTGGGGTTTGGATTGAGTTTTATTAAAACATTGAATACAATTTTTCGCCCCTTGATTACAATGAGCATTAAATTGATTCTCTGTGTTTGTAGTTTTGTAGCTATCTTGATTAGTCCTGTCATTTGTTGTTTGCATGTTAAAATTTCTATCACTGCTCTTCTGTTGTTCAACAGTTTTTAAAAGCTGTTCATTTGGCCTATTATTAAGAAAGGGTTGAATATGAGAATGGTACTGTGACTCTGAAGATGTGACAGGGGTTGGGATCATTGGATTCAACCCATCTAAAGGTCCAGGCACAGGAAATCTTGCAGGAAAACTTTGAATAGGAGAACACTGTGCATGATGAATTTGATGAGGCAGAGTAGTCCGATAATGTGGATTTTGGTTCATGATGACAACTACAATTGCTTAAAGTTACTGAAGTCCATACAACTGAATTTGCCCATCAGTATTATTAGCTACATTTAACTAACATTACTTTATTGTTCATAAACCGATAATTTAAAATATTCTTGAAAAGTTACACTGCCTGAAAAGATAAATGTGATATAAACTACACTTAAACTCAACTGTCGGCATCAGCATCACTAGCGTGTAAGTACATCAAATGAAAATATATTTATGACAAAATTGGACTGTGGTAACTGGATATAATAGCGGTTAATAGACATACTAAGATGATGAACTAAAACTCATCATAAAAAAAATCCTGTATTATTAAAAAAATAGTTTTTTACTAAGTACAAAACTTGTATAACACTGCAAGAGGCTATTATTCCCGGAGATCGAGATAAATTGATATAAGCGACCCTACCGATGTCAGCTAGAATCACCAACAGAGGAAAACTAACTTTAACCCTGGGCCCACACTACAGGCAAATCGAGGCAAATTCCCGCATTTTGCCTCAGTTTTATGGGAATTTGCCCGAGTTTGCTAGCGCCACTGTCGTAGAGAACAAAGGAAAGGGCGAGAGTGGGAGAAGGTGGTGGGGATATTTTGACCTGCTGGTGGAAGGTAATGGGCTGTTTACCCCGGTTTGTTGCATATCCATCCGGAATGGAAAACTTAGGCAAAATCCAAGCAAGTTTTGCATTATGGCCGTTGCGCTACGCTAGTGATGCATTGAATAGCCACTGTGATTGGCTGACACAGAAACTTCCATTTTCCGCTTTTTTTTGCAATATCCGGAATAAAACAAAATTAGTGCGCACAACATACAACTTTCACTTACCTTTCTACTTTGAATAGAAATTATTTTCTGGAAATGTTGAGCAATTATAAAAATTTTTAAGTGCACTTTTAACGGATCTATAGCTTAAAGGTCTACAGCTAACTAATCATTATCATCCCTAAAATAACAGAAACCCTATTAATTATATCAACGGTAGATAATAAAAACCTCCCTACCCCATCTTTTTTCGTAAACCATATAACTCCGGTCTCTGAGCAATATACATATGTCTAGAGAGATTTTCAAGTATATCTCTATATTCAACCTATAAATTATTATGGATTCTACGCCTATTAGTTATTAAACTGTTACTTTCCATTGTAAAGTTTACTACAAAGAAATTACGAGATTTTCATAGCCTGTCATAGATAGCTCAAAAGTTGTTACACTAATTTAACAAAGGGAAAATTCATCAAATTACTCACTAATTTAATTTTTTTAAATGTTATACGACGATCAACGGACGTTGATACCTAATTATTTAAATATAATATCAGATTTAGAATTATTAAACTACAGTAAATGTATTTAAGGTTATAAACATAGGCTTTATACATCCATTTAATATTTTTATATTTCACTTCTTTCACATTAGTACTATGAAATAGTTTTTTAACAATAACATTGCGTTGATTAGGTGAATTTTAAATACTTTTTCAAACTTAAAAACAATTTAAATTTAGTTAGTAAATTTCATTTATTTAATTTCCTTGAAAAAATGTGATTTCCGTTAAATAATATTAGTTTACACAAATTATTATTTATAATAATCTCTCTCCATTACATTCTATATTTCATATTGTTTTTTTCTAAAATTATCCGTTTTCCAATGATATAACTTCTGACAAGTATTGCCGGTAATTCATTTTCATCCTCAATACACATTTTCCCTTTTTTCTCCATTTTTCAATTATCAAATTCTTTCAAAAGTTATATTTAGCATTTTTTCGTAATTCTTAATAATGAGAGATGGTTAATTATTAAAAATTAATCAAATTAAAGGTACTTTAGAGGATGAAATGTTGAACATTTAGGCATTTAAGCTATGTAAAGTGACATTAATGGGGATAAGACCTCAATGATATTAAAGACCACTTAATTATACAATAATACATGAGTTTAATCAAAATTTTCTGTGCAACCAGCTTTCTGTCTTTCAGTAATAACAAACAAATCATTATAAACTACAAAAATTAAATGAAGATATTATTTGCCATTAAATGAATTATGGAAGTTTGTTAGCGGAAGGGTTCATATAAATAAAATTAAATAAGATATAATGAAATATAACATATATTTTTGAACATTTTTACATAATATATTTTAAATAACAAAACTTTTAATCCATTACTTGTTTTTCCCATTTGTCATTACTTATATATATTTATTTGATTTATTATATTTCCATATATTTGCTATTTGTACTTATCATCTTTTTGAGTGTCAGGTATATATATCATAACCTTTCGTACTTATTCATTACCTTTTATTATCATAAACTAAGTTTTTGTTAATTCATCTAATTACATTTTATTATTCATATCTAATTATTCCATTTTATGTTTCTTCTTCATTTAATACTACTCTTCATTGTTTATTTCCGTTTTATAGTTGAATTGAAATACTTTATAAAACCAATTATGTCAAGTTCCACTTTTGGTAATATTATTTCAGCCAACAATTTGCCCTAACATCGCTGCCATACTCCTATCAACCTTAATAAATAAGTATAATCACTGAACTTTTCATTTTTTAGATAGATTCTGCATTTACACAAAAAAACCATTAAGCAAAAAGTTTTTTTATGTTTTTGAAAACTCGGAGTTGAAATTTTTAATGATCCCAATACTTCGCATTACATTAAAATAAAATAATATCCATTTTCACATATTATTTAGTCAATATAAAAAAAAAGTTCAAAATATATTTATTTTTTAACCTATGCTTATTCTACTTTAGAGAGTTGAAAACAAGTATTCATTATTTTTTTAAAATGATCAGTTTATCAGTTTCTTTTTTAGTGCCCATATTTGTATCGGTCTGTCAACTAATTTTACATTTCACAGACATTAGTGTTAATCTACATCTGTTTTTTTTTTTCTTTCTATATCTTCAGTTCAAATAAAACCGAACAACTCACAAAATTACTAACCTAGACTCTAATAAAGCTGCATTAATAACATTTTAAGCACATATTGAAACACCATAATACAATACTATATTTGTAATTAAATGACTGTATCATGGTTAGAGACTAACATCATACAGTGCCAATTTTGATGCCTACTTCAATAAATAATCAACCATCCTAAGCCTAAAAAAGTTATATTTGTATAAAACATTGTCTGATTAAAATAACAATTAAGTCTAAGTGTGGAAATTTTAACCACATAGTGAGACTGCCTTTGTTTTGTTATTCGCATTTTTAATTTTAGAAATTTGACATATACCTATCATTTATTGGTTATTTATACACAAGTTGTAATATATATGTTTGAAGGGAAATGATGGAAGATGTTATTTATAATACATACAACCCATATATTTGCAAAATATAATAAATCATATACATAAACTAAATTTAATAATTATAATGTTGCTAGAAAATTAATCTTTATATCCTAACTTTGTTATTATTATACAAAATAGAAATTCTATTAATGAACAAATAAATATTTTTAGGTTCAAATATACAATACAAAATATAAATGAATTAATACAACATACAAATTAATGAATACAAGATATGTTTTTGTTTATACAACATCATGAATAAAGGAATTTAACATTACAAATAAAGCATTTTTAAATGCATCAGAAAAAGCTGAATAATAACTAATGAGTATTCTAATAATTTACTGGATTATTCTCCATCTTCTTCAAACACCTTTAAAAAGGCTTTATTAATAATATGTCTTTTTGGAGGTACAACCTTACTAGTATTTACAGAAAAAGTGTCTGTTTTATATTTTTTAAATGGCCCAGCATGTTGCTGGAAAATCACTCTTTATGGTGCATTAAAAATACCACGGGCACAGGCTGCCATCTTGTTTAAACTAGTGCTGGTTTCAATATTACAAATATTTTTATTCCACAAAGTCCGCACACATCTTCCCCAAGCCTCGTTCCATTTCACATATGCACAAACTTTGTTCTGGTTGAGGTAATTGGTCCAACCCTTCTCCTAACATGGTCCCATAATTCTGTGCAATTGTTTTGGGTTTATTTGTATTTCCGCACTGTTTTTCTATTATTTGGACGAGTTTATTGAACGGGGCCATAATTTCCTCTTCGCCTTTGTTTGATTTTTTTTTTTTGTCTTAGGCTGCAATACATACCGTTGTTCAATAAAGATGAATCATCGAGTACTTCAGCCTGTCCTTCATGTTCACACTCAACAGTAGGGGAACGCTGGAAAAAAAAAAAAAAATTACCAATCTTAGGCCTGGTATCATCCAACTAAAAAATCAGATTTTTTAATTTCGTTATAATTTTTTCCCTTCTATTTTTTGCGATGCTTATAACACATTTAGTTGAGATTTTCATTTTTAGAGGAGGGTCTATGTCTGGCACACTTTAAGACTCAATTTTACAGAGAACAAATAAAAGCTATGTAACATTTACATTAATAATGAAAGTCGAGGAAAAAACAAAACTAATCCTTAATTGAAATAGGAAACAATGGAATCAAATTCATAACAGAAGAAAATAAATAATTTGTTACGGGTAAACAGATAATGTGGAGGGTTAAGGAAACAAGACAGAATGGCTAAGGCATCATAGGGCATTTTCTCTTTATAGTCATTACCCTATGTACATTGTTTTGCTATATGAAAAAGTATAAAAAAAATAACTTAATCATAGACTAGGAGGGATATCGAAAACTAACAATGAACTTCCAATTAACTAAATATAAATAACCAGTTAAATGCTAAATAATTAACACCCCTTGTCCATTGTTTCCTTTGCGATGATGTACTTAAGTTGGACGTTAGAAAAGAAAATAGAACTAAATTAACTTACTACAGACTTAATTGATTGTTTGAATTGAAAAATAATAAAGTAACACTTGCAAATTTAGTAAAAGAGGAATTAACCATTCACTAAATTGTAAAAAATGTCTATACAGTAAATCAAAGAACCTCATAAATAAATGGAGAAAAAAATTTTTAAATGCATTCCTTGAATCAAACAATTGAAAAAACAATTGGCAGCTCATTGCAAAGTAATTAAGTGAAAATTCATTATTTCTTAAGTAATCAAGAACTTTGAATATCTTTTTCTTTATAAAATCAGAAAATTGTGTGCTTCTTGTAAGTATAATTGATGTATAAAAGGGCTTGTTTCATTTCCATGCCCATACAGTGTTTTTGTATAGGTAAATAAAGTCAAAATTAAAAAAAAAAAAAATCTTGAAAGTTAACCTATATCAAATATGCACATAGTGCATGAATTGAATGCAGTAAACGGAGGATATATCAAGAATTTTCACTGGTTAGAGAATTAATAATTGACTATGTTTAACGGAAGGAAATTAACAATCCTAGCAATTGTGTGTGAAAAATTACATAAAATCGCGTTAATTAGCTTTACAGAAATATATTTTGAAAAACAAGGTAAAATGTATTTATAGAGAAATGTCATAGCAAAGAAATAAACAATTCATATTAATAAGGAAAACTAAGATCAATTTTATGCTTACCTTGTATGATTCTCATGAATTTTCGACATCTGTCATCTTCTTTGTTTTCTCCACTTATTTTCTTCTACTTGCTTTTTTTTTATAGAAGAAATAACCAAAAGTAGCAATCAACCCCACGGCAATTCTAGAAGGTCCATGTTGTTTGCTTGGACTGACTCCGTCCTACTGAGCACATTTTCCAT